GCAATTCCTATGACGACCATGAGGTGGCGGCTATCTTGTTCGCATGGATGAAAACCGCGAATAGACTTCAGGGGGACTTAGCCACGAATGCCCTGGAACTATTTTCGGCATGAAAAGCTCACGGTTCCTGGTTGGTCCTCCAGCGGTACTTAGCCGCGATTCTATGGAACTATTTTTGGCTATGGGACCATGACTACAGTCGGTAAAAACTATGACTTCCATAAAATTTCTGAACCCCTGAACTGATCTGGGTAATTTTTGGATATGTTGGTCACCCAGATCAGGGCTATCGGACGATATAACATTTGTGGGGTTTTATGTATTTTTAGGGTACTTTTGGGGTGTTTTTAAAAAAGTATGTTTTTTTTCTGTGCTTGGAGATAATTGGATTAGAATTAGTACAGTAACTGATCCAATTATCTCCCAAGCAGGGAGGAGGGATTGTATCTTTGTTATGGGAGTGTCGGGCATTTAATCCCTGTTCTTATTGGTCTGTGAAGGGGCATACCTATTGATCTGTGAAGAGATACAAGAGAGACTAGAATTGTTCTGTGCTTTATGGGTATGGGTAAGCACTTTGAATTGACTCCTATAGGATACAGGAAGCCAATGTAAGGACTGACAGAAGGGTGAGGTGTGAGATGACCGACTAGAGATGAAAATCATTCTGGCGGCAGCATTCATTACAGACTGTAGCGGGGCAATAAGGGTTTTGGGAAGACCAATTCTGAGAGGGTTACAATAATCCATGCGGGAAATTACATGAGCATGGACAAGCTCCTTGGTAGCATCTTGTTTAAGAAAGTGGTGGATGCAGGCTATGCTTTTAAGATGGAATATACAGGATTTGGCAACATACTGTATGTGAGGCTCAAAGGTCAGGCCAGAATCAGGTATGACGCCAAGACAGACGTTTGCAAGGATGGACTTATGTGGTTACCACTAACTTGAAGGGAGAGCGAAAGAGGAGGATAAGTATTAGGAGGAGGAAAGTGAGCACTGAAGTGATCCTAAGGACATTAAGTCCAGAGGACACAATAAAGTTCCCCAGGTTTGCAAATGAATATATACAGAGTAAAATCACATTTCATTAAAGAACATAAGTATGGACTTTTATTTTGTAGTTATATTGTGTGGACTGGAGTATAGATTCACTTTTTAAAAAAATGAAAAACCCAGTGAAACACACTTAGCTGAGACTGACAGAAAATTTACTTTCTCTATCAGCACTCAGAATGAAACAGCACTGCATCAACAGCTGCACCTCTGTAAATGTCTAACAAAAATCAACTAATGTGGCTTTGCTGCTAAAAAGACTTAACAGCTAAACTATATTTATTTTCTTCTAGGCTAACAAGCTAGTCTACCCCTAGGCTGAGGTGGGAGAGAGAAATGTGTGTCTGTGGCTGTAAATAGGGTGAGTGGGAGAGAAATGTGGGTCTGTGGCTGTAAATAGGGTGAGTGGGAGAGAAATGTGGGTCTGTGGCTGTAAATAGGGTGAGTGGGAGAAAAATGTGGGTCTGTGGCTGTAAATAGGGTGAGTGGGAGAGAAATGTGGGTCTGTGGCTGTAAAAAGGGGGAGTGGGAGAGAAATGTGGGTCTGTGGCTGTAAATAGGGTGAGTGGGAGAGAAATGTGGGTCTGTGGCTGTAAATAGGGTGAGTGGGAGAGAAAAGTGGGTCTGTGGCTGTAAATAGGGTGAGTGGGAGAAAAATGTGGGTCTGTGGCTGTAAATAGGGTGAGTGGGAGAGAAATGTGGGTCTGTGGCTGTAAATAGGGGGAGTGGGAGAGAAATGTGGGTCTGTGGCTGTAAATAGGGTGAGTGGGAGAGAAATGTGGGTCTGTGGCTTTAAATAGGGTGAGGTGGGAGAGAAATGAAACATCCATTCACAATGATTTTAAATGCTCAAATGCAAACATGCATTGATAATCATATGCATCAAAAGTAATACACAACATTATATGAAAGTTATATTTAAAATTCACTATATATATATATATATATATATATATATATATATATATATATATATATATATATATATATATATAATATACCGATCTGTAGTGATTAGCACTCACGGATTTCCAGAAAATAGTATTAAAAAATAACTTTTATTGGTCCATTAAAAAAGCTGCATCAACGTTTCAGTCCTCTAGTGGGACTTTCATCAGTTCTGTATTAGAACTGAAACGTCGATTCTGTTGGCAGTTGCTGAATAAAGCTAAGTTGATTCTTTTTCACCATATATGAAGTCCTTGGAGTGCTTTTCAAAATTCACTATCTATATATATATATATATATATATATATATATATATATATATATACATATATATATACATATACATATACATATGAACAGGGACAGACTGACAGCCATTTGGGCTCCTGGGCAAAATAAGGTCCTGAGCCCTTTGAAAGCTTATATATATATATATATATATATATATATATATATATATATATATATATGTATGTATTTGGTGAATTTTTATTATTTCTTTTATTTAGATTGGGAGAAGAGTCAATCCCCTCACCTAATTTTGCCCAGGGCCCAAATGGCTGTCAGTCTGTCCCTGTTCATATGTATATATATTTTAAAGAACACAACCTAAGGTACCAAGGGGGGGGGGGGATTGACTCTTTTTATGCAACCATTTTACCACCAATCTATGCCAATTAAAAATAAATAATAATAGGTGATTTTTTTTTTGACACACATAGCAATTTAAGAATACATGTGAATAGAACTTTAAGGCTCACTGCCAAAGAACACCATGATATGTGTTCAGCAACATTTCCTGAGTACAGTGAGACCACCCATGTATGGGTGTGTCGGGTTCTCTGGGGCTAAAAGTCCTTATTTGGAGGGTGCACATTCCTGTTTTCCAACTTAGAATTTTCCCAGCTGCTCATCATGCCCCCATGTCCTATTTGGGACATTTCTGAAGCCGGCCAATGCAATTTACCCCCATCAAACCATATATTTTTAAAAAGTAGACACCCTAGGGTATTTCACATGGTGGTATTTTAACACTTTCCATGCACTAATTCTACCACCAGTCTTTGTCAACCTTTTGGGTAGTCGTTTTTTTGTTATTTTTCTCTCATGTTGTAATTTAGGCATGGATTCTCAGTTGCTGTTATGTGTTACTGACAAAGAATACCCCAATATGTGTTCAGCACCATCTCCAGAGTACTACAGTGCCTGCAATGTACAGGTTTTATGGGTTTTTGCAAACTTGCAGGGGTCAAATGTAGGACTTTCCTCTTTTCCACGTTTGCACATTGAAATATGCCATATCGGTTTGCTGGGCCCATGTTGCCTTTGAGACCGTATAGCAGCCCAGGAATGAAAATTAACCCCATCATGGCATACCATTTGTAAAAGTAGGCAACCCACAGTATTCAGAATGGGGTATGTCCCATAATAATGCCACAGTTAGCGTTCATATTTGTTTTTTGCATTTTTTAAAACACAAAAACTGCACTTTTACTGGTAATTTAATCGTTGTGATAAGTTTTACTGTTTTAAACACTCATATTTGTGTTCAGTGAAGTCTTCCGAGTATAACAATACCCCCCATGTACAGGTTTTATGGTGTTTTGAAAAGGTACAGGGTCAATATAGGGCTTGCCCAATTCAGTTTGCCAGAATGGTTTGCTGGGTCTGTGTTGCCTTTTGAGACCGTATGGTAGCCCAGGAATGTGAAATAATCCCATCATGGCATACCATTTTCAAATGTAGACAACCCAGAGTATTCCAAATGGGGTATTTCCAGTCTTTTGTAGTAGCCACTTATTCACAAATGCTGGTCAAAATTAGTGTGCTTGTTTTTGCATTTTTTCTTTACACAAAAACTGCACTATTACTGGTGGTTTCATCGTCTTAATAAATGTTACTGTTTTAAACACTCATATTTGTGTTCAGCGAAGTCTCCTGAGTATAACAATGCCCAGGGTATTCCAAATGGGGTATTTCCAGTCTTTTGTAGTAGCCACTTAGCCACAAACGCTGGCCAAAGTTAGCGTTTTTATTTTTTTTTTTATGTGGTTTTTTTCCCCAATTTATATTATATATATATATATATATATATATATATATATATATATATATATATATACGTGTATATAATAAGTATGTGTGTGTGTGTATTCTATTTTTCTCTACAATTGCGCTAGCAGGTTCTTTGCTCACTGCTGACTGAGTGAATATTTAAATTTCTTTGGAATGGTTATTTGCTTAAAGGACCACTATAGTGCCAGGAAAACATACTCGTTTTCCTGGCACTATAGAGCCCTGAGGGTGCCCCCACCCTCAGGGTCCCACTCCCCCCGGCTCTGGAAGGGTGAAAGGGGTAAAAACTTACCTTTTTCCAGCGCTGGGCGGGGAGCTCTCCTCCTCCCCGTCGGCTGAATGTGCACGCACGGCAAGAGCTGCGCGCGCATTCAGCCGGTCGCATAGGAAAGCATTATCAATGCTTTCCTATGGACGCTGGCGCGTTCTCACCGTGAAAATCACAGTGAGAAGCACGTAGCGTTCTAGCGGCGTCAATGAGACAGCCACTAGAGGAAATAGGGGAAGGCTTAACCCATTCATAAACATAGCAGTTTCTCTGAAACTGCTATGTTTATAAAAAAAAAAAATGGGTTAACCCTAGCTGGACCTGGCACCCAGACCACTTCATTAAGCTGAAGTGGTCTGGGTGCCTAGAGTGGTCCTTTAATCAGTTTGTAGCATCTTTATTATATATGAGTCTCTTAATTTTCCGGAATTATTTCATTACTCCCTGAGGATTTCTCTCTAAATATTTGAAATTCACAAAAAAAAAAAAAAAAATCTGCCCATGTTCAGTAGTTACCTTTCCCTTACATGACAATCTATCACATTGGGTCTTCTAATCTTGAATATATCATTCCCTACAATCCACGATTACAATTGTACTGCTATGCGGAATATGTTGGCGTTCTAGAACAACCGCTAAAATAATAACCTGCTCAATACTTTAGATTTAGTGGCAAGCGGTGATACTGTGTTCTGCTGCAGTAGAAGAGCTCGCAGAACTCATGGAATCCCACGGAATCCCTGCACTGGGTGAACCCAGGGCAAACAGTAACACTGTATCCATGACTGTAGAACGCTCGTTGTGTGCGTGTGTCTTGCATAACCTCCTGCTGGGGGCGGTGCTTGGTCATGTGACCGTCGCGTATAAGAGGCAGGTCACTGGGAGCCACTGTGACCGGTGGCATCTGCACAGCTGGGTTAGGGGAGGAGCGAGCCCGGAACCGACTGTACATCTTGCTGCACGGAGCCTCTCAGCCATGGCAGGTAAGTCACAGCGTTATTCACAACTTGGGAATCCCTGACCTTTCTCATTAGGGTCAGAGCGCTAGCCACTGCAGCTGGCAGAGGATGCTGAACTTAGTAATGGACGGTAGTCTAGTGCAGGGGTAGGCAACCATAGGCACCTCTGATGTTATGGACTACATCCCCTATAATGCTTGCAAGAGCATCAGGGGCGATGCAGTCCAAAACATCTGGAGTGCCTAAGGTTGCCTATCCCTGGCAGTGAAACTCACTGTGCCTATGTATAACCATTGACCTCTGAGTGCTATTGGGAATATAGCTTGAATGCATGAATCTATAGGGGCTCCATCACATTCCCCCCCCCCACCCCCACCCCCGTGTGACCTTCACCTGCACATCAGCGGTGTTTATCCCCTGGAAGAACTTTAAACCTTATCTGTGACGTTTTATATGCACCTTGACACTGAGAACCTAATTATTACATTGCAACCATTGCACCTTATTTATGGCGTGCTATACGGACCTTTAGTTTGATGCACTATGTAGACCTTGTTCTATATTGCACCTTATCATCTCCTTCCTCTTCCTTACACGGGGCTGACGTTACATACACTAGCAGAGCGATGGCTTCCAGTGAGCGAGTGAAAGTGATATGTTGTATGTTCCTGCACCTATCTGCAGGGTTACTTGAATTTACAGTCACTTGCTCGATGCTGTTAACCACATATTTAGCTGCAACAGGACATGATGATGCAGTAAGTTGGGAGGAGTGGGGGCGAATCGGTCTTAAGCATTAAGGTGCAGATGTGACATGGTAGTGATGGTAACTACTTAAAACTAGAATAAAAAATCTTAAAGGATTAGAGAGACTTGCTCATAAAGCACTGTAAACACAACATTTATTACATTTAATTACATTAAGTTTTTTTTTTTTTTTTTGTTTCATTCGGTTTTGTATGTTTTATTCATTGAGCATGGATGTTAAGTGTCTGTTATAATAAAACCCTAGGCTAGTAATGGGGACAGAGCTCACTCCTATCCATGTTATATTATTGATCTGACATATTTCATGACTACTGTAACCGCAGATGTGCCCAGAAAGATGTTTTGTGTACAAAGAAAAAACAATGTTTTTGTGGCACACGGATTATTTTTTTCCCATTATAGCTCGGGATGGTAGAAGCTAAAAAGCTACAAGATAAAACTTGTCAGTCTGTGTTATCATTGGGAAACTCACTGTCCTGGAAACTAGACCCAAATCTGGCAACGTAACAAGTGGTTTCATGGAGATCTGCCACTAGGCCTCCCCACATAGTTTGTTCTATTTATGGCTCATAGGGTATCTCGCTTGGGAAATCAGAGTGTGGCTGTGACAGGCCAAATTTTTTTTACCAGCATGTTATGAGCTCCTTGCAATTTCACAGAAAATCATGTGGCATGCTTAGACTGGAACAAGAACTGCACATTAGGGTTATTCCCTAAAATGAGAATTATGCAACATTGACTAATAAATGGCACATTCTAGCACAAAATCTAAAATGTTTAAACTTCTTGTCCATTCTTGATCGTTCTCATTTTAGTAAATAAACCTACTGGTAATTGATTTAAAATATGAATGCACATGTGGATACAAGCACTTTATATATTAAAATAAACTTTGTGATGGCCCCTGTGACAGAACACCCATACTCTAACTGAGTACCTCCTCCAAGCCAGCTTCCTAGCTGCTTTCAAGGAAACTGGAGCACTTCAGACCCAGTCGTCGAAGCATGACTGGGGTTACGGAGGACCTCCTCCACCAGATCAGGCTGCAGTATATAGCAATGGAGACCCTTTTTCCTGTAGAGCAGTGATTAAAGCTTTACTGTAGCCTTTCTCCTACACATTAGAGGAATCTGAATATAGGGGATAGAATTAATCTTTATTTAATGCACGCAGATATTTTTATGTGACAATGCAGACTCTCCCTGCAGGGGGTCTTTCATAAAATAGAATATACAGCAAGTGTCCCTCCCCTCGCCTCTCTGTCTGGGCATTTAATGATGTTATCACCAGCTAACTCAATTGGCTCCCTGCTGTGCCTTCACAGTCCTAAAGGTACAGCATACAAAATGGTTACCAGAACCCCCTTTTCCTGGACTGTACCCCCTGAAAAGCTAGTCACTTAGCGCCCTAATTGGAAAATCCATGCCCAAGAGACAGCGTGTTAAAGTTTGACCAGGTTGTGGCTATTTTCCGATCCGGTGAGTTCCAGGCGTGTGGCGGCTTAGTCCTGGTCTTCAAAAAGGGGTTCCTGGACCTCTCGGGAGGAGAGTGCTTTCAAGCCCCAGGTATCCTCCAATGCCTCCATGCATCCCCAACTTCCTGGCCAAATAGCACTCTCTTTGGAGGTCAGAGGTCTGAGCAATACCTATTTAAAACATGACCGGACCTCAGCACAATCCCAGTCCGACATACAGTTCCAGGTTGTTTCAGGGTATATCCCGGTCATGCGCTTGAAGTTTAAAATGAGTTCAGGCGATCCTCAGAGGTCCTCAAGTCCTTCTGGGAAGCAAAATAAGTGTCCCCTTTTAGGGCCTCTTGGGACCAGGCCCATATTCTTTTCCAAAAGGCTGTTGCACAGGAGCTTCTGTCACAACCCCCATGTTTATTTATTTTGAGAATTATATTTAGGCTTTCAGTTATTTAAAATTACTTGCAAACTTCTTCAGCCTAATTTTTGATATTTGACATAAATAAATGGCTGCTCTCAGCTGTGTATTTCATGTCGAAGAATGTCTGTCAATCTGTGTTTGCTATAACTTTTCCTTTTAATGATTTAAAGTTTTTCAGTACTACCACCAATACCTACTTTCCTGTACATATACTGTGGCAAGAAGGCTTGTGACAAAGAAACCATGCTCTCAATGTTTGGGGCCTTGTGCACTCAATTCCAGCAGACACACCAGTTACATAGATTGTTGCCACTGCTTGGGCAAATCATAGCCCTTGGCAAGCGTTATGTTTACCATTTGGCACAGTGCAGTCACACTTTCATGGCTAGCTTCACACATAAGATAAAAAACTGTTCATACAACTTATATATGAGTAGGTAGCCACAGTGTGTACTTTTTAAGGTAAAATAATTGTATTGCCAGTTGACAGAAAGGGCTACCATCTTCCTCATACTTGTTTTAAAGTCCTCGAAGCTCAGGACTTTAAGTCCCAATGGGACTATGTTATGACTACACACTCTTCCAGGTGGCTGGACATCTCCACCAAAAAGTGTCAACTGTCAAAGGCATCCACAACCAAGATAACCTTCAGAAGGGTAGTACTAACGATTACCTAAACTATTTTGACCTTGCAAGCAAATGTTTTAGGCCTTGAATCAATGATTGTGTGCTTATATCCTGCCTACAAACAATTGATCTTGCTTCAGCTAATAACATTAATGTGTAGTAGGCTGTGGCAAAACTGATGGTACAACTAATAACATTAACATTAAATAGATTGTGGTATAACTGATCGTACAAATGCGATAAAAGGAACAGAAATGCTTGTAAAAGATTGGCTGAGTTTTGTTATATCTCCTGTTATGTTTTACCAACTTCTGTTATACACCACCTTTTACATGAAGATGATGTTTTGGAACACGGTAATGTTACAAAGAAATACAATTCTTTTTAACTTTAGAGTACTCCTTTTTAGTTTTTATTACTTTGTGTAAAAAATAAAACCAAACATAAAACTTACCTGGAATCCAGCACCAAGACAGTCTGCTCACTGCAGCTCGATCTTTTCACAATGAGATAATCAATTTTGATGATCTCAGGACCAATCAGATGCTTCTCATAGATTGAGGACCTACTGCACATGTGTGGCAGTTACTGCAATCTGCCAGTCCAATGCTTCTTATTAGAGAAAACGGACAGTGTTTATGCACCAACACCAAAACATTATTTTGGTGCTTAGAATATTACTTTACAATTATGTTTGTTTTCTCTGTATCTTATTACCAGCTGTTACTTTATCTGATGTTGATGTTCCATCCAATGTTTCCTATTTTTAGTTTTAAGCTGTCAACCTGTGCCAGTTTGATCTCTATTCTCAACAATGTTTCCATTCCAATACTGATCCAGATCTTTCGAGGACTTAAAACGTCCAGAGCAGGTTTTACGAGAACACTGTAACTCAATACATTATCTGTTCATGTAACCTATACAAGGTATCCTGTCTTGTAATTGAGGTATATTTTTAAACAAATATAATAAACATGGCCTAAGCATGCAGCCATTAGTGTCATCTGCTTAAATACAGACACAGATTAAATTCAGAAAAATACTGCCCATTGTATAAATATTCTGCTATTTTGAGGATATTTGCAAATTAAAAGGTATTTTTTCCTTTCATTTTTTGTACCAACATTAATACCAAGCTCAATGACTATAAACTAACTTAGCTGATTTTATTGACACTGTTATAATAATGTCTCGATTAACCTTGAGTGATCCTCTTCGCAGGAGTTTCCTTCATTCATGGAGTATGGTTACATTTATTTTTGGTATACACTCTCCGTACACCTGTGATATGTGAGGCTGTATGCCATCGTACCGTGACGTTTCTTGACCTGGTTCCTCCTTGCCTGCTGCTTGTTTACTACATGTTCATTCAGTAAGCTACTACTAGTAAAACTGCAACGACTAGTAAAATTACAGCTCTGGGGTATTTGTTGGCGCTATATAAATAATAATAATTAGGAATCCTATATATAAAGGGTCTTTGTTCTGAATAACACTACAGTCCTGTTATAATCCGTAAATTCCATCAGTACCTTGCACAAGCCCAATTAATCACTACTAACATTTTTGCTCAACCCAACCGCTAACTAAAAAAAACTTGCTTTTCCCACAGAAATCACAAATTTGCAGTGATGTTACTACCACAAAGGATACATTGTATTAACTATCCACAGAGTTCAGGTGGAAGGCGGTTGCAATCACAATTTTATCCCCTCCATAACCTTTTTGGTTTTTGCTTCCCAAGCACTACCAAGCCTCAATAGCCAACTAGTAACCAAACTCATGCTGATGATTTGCGTTAACAATGAAACAGCTGTCCATGAGTGGTTCACTGGCTTTGCATCTTTTACGAAGTTGTGTTTTAAAGCTGTTGTATACAGCAAACACAGACTCAAAGGAACCCATGTTTAAAATGGATGAGGCAGAAATGTGATTCTTTGTTAAACTAATTTGCATATGCCAACCCAGAATCCTCTGCGGTAGTAACATCACTGCAAATCAGTTTTTTTTCTGTGGGAAAAGCAAGCCTTATGGCTTGTCTGGTGTGCACGCAGACTTTTGTTTAAAATTGTATTATTAACAAAATAAAATCTTCCCAGCACCTTAATCGTATTGAGAAGTTTCAGAAGGAAACTCTATTGTGCTGGAGAAAGTAGGCTCACTTCAATAAACAATATATTGCAGACAGCTGTTCCAACTCTGGCAAATTTGATTTCTCTTTCTCAACTAACAGAGACCCCTGAAAACATTGTGTCCTAACTGGAGTCCTGTGGCAGTCGCTGTGCCGCACTATTAATATATTTGCTGATAAGACAATGTCACCTGTCCCTCGCATATCATGCTTTGTGGAGTCCTGAAAGCAATGCATTAATTTTTTTTTGTAGGTGTAATGGGAGCGGTGCAAGGTGCAGGCAAGGATGTACCTTCTGCAACTTCATGGACATGGTAAAACTGGAAGTCTGTTAAGGCTTCTATTTAATTTATAATATTAATTTTTTTTTTAGCTCTCTGGCTGCTGCAATTTATTTATAGACAAAATGATTTGCATACTGGAAACTGAGTTTGCCTTAAGCATCAGAGTCCTTGCTTGGTGGAAATACAATTGATACCTTCAATTCTAGTGAATGGTACAATTGAATCAACACCAGAGGAGGCTTGTAACTGCTATTTAAGTGGCGGTTCTCTCCTGAAACTGCTATTTTTAGACGTTTCGAAGAGCTTCCTGTTCAGTGGTGTCTTACCATCAGTGCTAAGAATGCGATCTGTACAAACATACTTACCAAGTGACATGTCCAGTGTAAGGCCAAGCTTTGGAGTAGGAATGTGCATAGTAGAAAAGTCCATTCTCTGATGTCATCAGCATTGCCATATATTCAACCTTGCTGGCCACCAGTTGTGCCACTGGTCACAAATACAAAATGGGCTTCTGTGGGAGTTCTCACAAAACAATTGTTTACAATTAATTTCAAAGTCTGAAAAATAATATCTATATCAGATATCACATTGTGATGGCATGAGTTGCAAAACAGCTCTTGATTAAAGAACCACTCCATTAAAAAATAAAAAATAAATATATATATATATATATATATATATATATATATATATATATATATATATATATATTTTATTAAAATTAGGTTTGCATGTTTTTTTTGAGGGCATATAAGATCTAGTATCTACAGGTACTGCAAGCCCTTACCTTTTCCCCTGGCATAGACGTTCTCATTTCAATAATTAAGCAGAAGATTATCATAGAGGAGCATTGCAGACTAGCCAATCGTGTGTGATTGTCCAATGACATATATCTCATTCATCAGTACTGCAGCTTGTTGTGAAGTATGAGTATGCACCTGCCTTTCAGTTTAGCTCCAAGGAACTGGACTACCTGGAAGATATTGACTGGCAGCCAGATAGGTGTTTTATAGTTAATTTACAAGTGTTGCTTTTATTACAGGAGATAGTCTGCACATATAAAGGTGAAGTGCTTTGTGTGTTGGCATTGGTCTTTTAAGTTTTAACAATGTTTGATGTTCAAACCTACTTATGTCAGCTTCGTATGAATCTAGTAAACTAAAGGAGGATTATGGTAAACATTTATTTGAATGAATGCCCCTCAAGTTTGTCAGCTATGCACATTAAAAGTTGGCCTGTCACAAGAAGTTCATCTTGTTATAACAGCTGCTGAAGCAGTGACTATATAATTTATATTAACGATAAATGGCTTTGAATTTCTTTATAAACTGTCATGATTTACTTTCCTCTTTTTCAATGTTCCTGCACTTCCATGTTCACAGGCCTATAGGTGTTTCATAGCTATGTGTGTTAACTACCATCCATTACCTCTCCGACGGTTCCGACATACTGTCTTCATATTAACATCAGAAATGAGTGACATCAGACATTTCATTCTTACATCACTCAGCAGGAGCTGAATGCATTTTACTAGAGAATATCTGTGGTGGAGAGCAGGAGACCTGTCTGTAGTAGTGTATCCATGGCCTCCCATCAGTACACCTGTAAGGGGCGCTGGGCCCCATATGGCCAGAAAAATCTATCCATCCATCCAAAAGATCTCGCTCCCCACGCCATTGAATGCTTACTGAGGTAGTTGGGGAGGCTGTACATATGCTCCTCTGCTGGGTCCTCTCCCTCTCACTGCTGGGTGCCCACAGCAACTCTCCGACACTGCACATTGCTGGGGCCTCGCGAGAACCGATTGGGCACCCAGCAGGAGCAGGGAGGCTCAAAATACCACCAGGCAATATAGTGTTCCCACTTCATGGCCAGAGGAGGGAGGGCAAATATTGAATAAAGAAAAAATAAATTAATCAATAAACTGGTTCTCTCACCTTCTCTCACAAAACACATCCCTTATATCAGCCTCCACACACAAACACACTGTATACACACACTGCATCCACTACAAACACACTACTCCTTACAAACAAGGCATCCAGTACACACAAACATTGCATCCAATATGCACACATTTCCTTCCTGACACACCCACACTACATCCCTTACACATACTGGATTCCCTATACAAACACACTACATTCCCTAAACACACACATTACATCCCCTACAAATTTCCTACCGCAGCTTTAAGTGCTTGTGAGATGGTGGTGAAATGGGTGGCAGGTCCTTTAGGCGAAGTCAGGGCCACCCCATCGGCACACTCTGTGGAAGGGGATACCAAAGACCCAGGACCCTCTTAAGAGCATTAAAGGCCCTGCACACGTTTGGCCCCTGGACAGCTTGTCTATGCGTTAAGACAACCATGACTCGAGCTGTTTAAGAGACCCTAACATTTCTGATAGTAGCCCTGGTGCACCTCCTACCCGCCGGTATCCTCATCACTCATTTGTCAGCGTATAATAGGGGTGGCCAAATTTTGTCTGTAAGATACTCATGTTAAAATTTTAGAAATATTCAAGATCCACAATTACATTTTATTGTAGTGTTCAACAGAACCAAATATTGTCCCATGTGTCTCACTCTCCCCCAGCACCTCCATTCAAGTGTTTCATTCCCTCCGCATCATGTGTCACATTCCCCACAACTTCACCATGTGTCTCCAAGGTGCCACCCTCCCCTTCCCCATGTGCCAGCTTACCTCCCCAGTGTATCGTGGCCGAGCAGTGGACTGTGGTAAAGGAGCTTGTTTCCCTCCACCCGGGCTGACAGGAAGCTGGTCAGTGCTCTTACTGTGTGCACCTCCTTTCAGACCTAGTACAGGGAAACCAGCTTCTCTACCGCACTCACAGTACTGTACTGTGCAGTGCACTCCCCTCCTGCCAGTCAGCTGGATCCTGTGACCCCCACCCCTCCAGGCTGGTGTGCCACCTTATGGTTGTGCCGGCCCTAAAAAGTTTTGCAAGGTGTCTAAAGAGCCACATGCGGCTTGCGAGTTTAGCCATGTCTTGTATATACTATACTATCGGCATGGACTTTTATGCCAACAGTTACTTGACAGGTGAACTGGAGGGAACATAATATAAATATATATATATGACATACATTTTAGCAAAATTAATGTTGATTATATTGTACTTCTGTACTGAGCTTATAGTTTAGACTTGGATGCTTGGAGTTTTTACTTTTCATTGAGGCAGTATATAAAATCATGTAAATTAATTCTAGAGACCAGCTTTCTATCCTTTAGGGAAGGCTCTGTGTTGCAATTCATGTCATCCCAACTTGAAACTCATTTAGGTGGAAACATAGCTGTAGTCACGTTTACTGTAAAGCATTTTCTATAGAAGTTAAGTCTGACATTGCGTTTTCCATTCAGTATTTCTGTTGGTTTTACTTCCACTTTGCTTGCGTTACAGCAATTTTTTAAGCAATTCATTCATAGGATATTAAGCAATGCTACTCTGCTAACTTACTCAATATCATCCATCATGCTTATGTCTCATCCTCCTTTTGAGGGTACATTAGTTCTATGCAAAAGCTACTGTCTCTTTATGTACTTGAAAGTGCTCTCCTGAAAATAGAATCTGCTTAGAGTTAAGATATTTGCATTAGCTGATTATTTGGAATGAAACTTATTCTGCACTTTATATTGTTGTTGCATTGGCAGAATGACAAAAAGTCTTGTAGAAATTACAAAAATATCCACACAATATCTCACCCTTTGCCAAGGTAGATTCTTAAAGTTATAATGTTTTGTATTAGAACAATACTGTTTTCTTGCATTTTTTAACTTTTGAAATTAGACTGGAGGGCTTTTTCCCTCAAAAATATTATTTATAAAAGGGATGCAATATAATTTCCTTTCCTTCCTGGCATTACCGGGGCTGTGGTTCAGGGAGTAGCACATATATTTGGAGCTGGGTTTCAAGGAGTTCTGGGGGTCTGTTTTACATGGAAATTAGAGACATGAAGGGGGCTTAGGGTACTGTATTGCAGCCATTCTTAAAGAGAAAGACAATGGTGAAAGGAAGATAAAAGGTGGTTTTCTGTGGTTGTGAAAACGAGGGATTGGTAATTAAACACAAATGGGAATAATGTTTGGTGGAAAGAATCAGAAGAGGTTTAAAGGCAGAAAACACGTGAATGAAGGAGAAGATATGGAATTGATGACAGAAAAGGTGCAGTGTGTGTACTGAACGAACAGACAGCCTCTCTTGACATCAGTAACATTAAATATGAAACCAAGAGGGCTGCACTCACCTAAACATGCATACATTATAGGGTGCTACTGGGGCCAATTCATACAACATACAAAATCCAGTGCACTCACTCATCCACTAAGCAGCAATTTCAAGGTTTACAGAAGGTAATAGTTTTATTAAAAAATTCCTCACGTAGCAAAACATAATGGCACACAAGCCTGCCTGGTAGGTTGTCATGACATTCAGTATGGAGGTTTGCTCACAGGTTCAGTTCTGAAGCCAGATTCTAGTTGGACTGCATTGGTCCTCTGATTGGAGTAGTTTATTCTTTGTTCCAGTGAAGTCTCAGAGGAATGCTAGGTGTGTGGAAACCCAAGACATGTAACTAGTTATATTTGTCTACTTCAAATCCTCATCGATTGGACCCTTGTTTGAGCAGGTCCTTTTTCATCTCTCAAATATCCCCTTTCTATAATTGTAAAGTGCTGTCATTATGTCAAAGCTATATTAATGCAAAAAATATTAAATATAGACAAACATAGAATTGAGATACCGTATATACTCGAGTATAAGTCGACCCGAATATAAGTCGAGACCCCTAATTTTACCCCCCAAAAACTGGGAAAACTTATTGACTCGAGTATAAGACTAGGATGAGAAATGCAGCAGCTACTGGTAAATTTCTAAATAAAATTAGATCCCCAAAAAATTATATTAATTGAATATTTATTTACAGTGTGTGTATATAATGAGTGCAGTGTGTAAGAATGAGTGCAGTGTGTGTGTATGAATGCAGTGTGTGTGTATGAGTGCAGTGTGTGTATGTGTATGTGATGCAGAGCCTTGGTGGGGGGTGGGCATTTTTTTTTTTTATATTATTATTATTTTAATATTTTTTTTTTATATTATTAATATTTTTAATATTTTTTTTTCGTTCCCCCCTCCCTGCTTGTTAGCTGGCCAGGGAGGGGGCTCTCATTCCCTGGTGGTCCCATATAGTTAAATACCGTATATACTCAAGTATAAGACAAGTTTTTCGGCACATTTTTTGTGCTGAAAACCCCCCACTCGTCTTATACTCGAGTGAGTGTCTGTATTATGGCAACTTACATTGCCATAATACAGACAAGGACCGCCGAGCTCATTACAAGCCCGGCGGTCCTGTTGGGGGCTGGCAGGAAGCGTTTACTTACCTTTCCTGCAGTTCCTGTCACCTCCCTTCTCTCTGCTCCTGTCAGCTCCACTGTAGGTCTCGTGATGTGATTGCCGAGCGGAGCATTGCCACGGTAACCCGTGGCAACACTCTGACCCCGCGGCTCTCGCAAGACTTGCAGGGGAGCTGACCGGACCGGAGGAGAGAGAAGGGAGCTGACAGGAGCTGCAGGAAAGGTAAGTAAACGCTTCCTGCCAGCCCCCAACAGGACCGCCGGGCTTGTAATGAGCTCGGCGGTCCTTGTCTGTATTATGGCAATGTAAGTTGCCATAATACAGACACTCACTCGAGTATAAGACGAGTGGGGGGTTTTCAGCACAAAAAATGTGCCGAAAAACTTGTCTTATACTTGAGTATATACGGTATTTAACTATATGGGATCAAATTGGGTCACAACCCATGCCTCTGTTAAAATGTGTTCAATTTGTTCCTGTATTGGATCACAACCCATGCCTCTGTTAAAGGACCACTATAGTGCCAGGAAAACATACTCATTTTCCTGGCACTATAGTGTCCTGAGGGTGTCCCCACCCTCATGGCCCCCCTCCCGCTGGGCTGGATGGAGAGGAAGGGGTTAAACACTTACCTTTCTCCAGCACCGGGCTCCCTCGGCACTGGGGACTCTCCTTCTCCTCCTTTGGACGTCATCAGCTGAATGCGCATGCACGGCAAGAGCCAAGCACGCATTCAGCCAGTCTCATAGGAAAGCTGGCGTCTTCTCACTGTGATTTTCACAGTGAGAAGCGCGGAAGCGCCTCTAGCAGCTGTCAATGAGAGAGCTGCTAGAGACTGGATTAACCCATAGGTAAAAATAGCAGTTTCTTTGAAACTGCTATGTTTACAGCATAAAGGGTTAATCCTAGAGGGACCTGGCACCCAGACCACTTCATTAAACTGAAGTGGTATGGGTGCCTATAGTGGTCCTTTAACCCCTTAAGGACACATGACATGTCATTAAGGGGTTAAAATGTTGTGTTCAAAATAATGCTGTGCTGCTATGAGTGCAGAGATGCAGGATGAAGTCTGCCTATCTGTGCACATTTGCATGTCCGCTAGGAATTCTGGGAGAATTGTAGAAAAATGATTTCAGAGAATTAAGGAATGTGCCATTCAATTCCAATTTTCTTATTTTCGTCTCACCACAATCTAGGGAATGCCACATGTGGTAAACCCATCCACATTGCAACTGGTACAAAGTAAGAATGTGGTGCTTTCTGTCTAGTTTATGATTTAGACCTATTTAGTTTAGTTTAAGTATGTGGCCATTCCATTGCGTATACTCCAAAACCAGCCAATTTCAAAGTGTAGATTCATTGTGTTTGGGATTGACATGTTCCTTTTAATTTGCTTCATGGACCATTTGGGAGCATATGTATTTTGGCAGATGCATTCAGATGTAGGTCATTGCTTGTCAAATAAGTGACGGTTTTATGGTCATGCTAGAAGGACTATTTGCAGCGTGGTATGTTTATGGGTCAGAGCAGAAGATTACAGGCTAAACAAGCTGTAATGCCGTCCTTTCATGCTATGACTAAGGCAGGATAACCACTACAGCTGTCTCTTTTCTTTTATTTGTGCAGACTGGCTTGTTTATAGGGAATCACTGAGGGAACGTGATTATTTATCATTCAGTGCCCTTTATTCCTCCCTGCTAACTGCTCTAGGGCTTGCATCTGTGACAGTTTATATGTATTTGGCAAATCAGATTTTACGTGTCTATACATATAAGCAGGGAAATAAATTGTTCTCTTAATCGTTTTAGATACCAGAGGGTTAAGCAGCCACACTAAATCTTTGGAGAATGTCCTGTATTAGGGAGAGCAGCCTCTGATTATTTAACACAAGTAGTATAATGGACAGTCTTTTATGCCTGGGAAATTGGTCTTTAGCATGCTAAGGAAAACAGTCTCTGGTACTCTACTATACTAGTGAAAACAATATTTTACTATAGAAAGCAGTCTCTGGTAACTACAATACTAAGGAAAACAGTCTCTGGTACTCTCATTCACTAGAGAAAGCAGTACTCATGCACCAAGGAAAGCAGTCCTTAATATTCCTTTTTAGTAGGTGAATCAGAGTCTGGTACTTGTCTGTATTAGGAGAAACAGTCTCTGTTCCTTTCCTGTGTTAGGTAGTTAGACAATCTCTGAAAGTCTGAGTGATAAAAAAAACAGTTTGTGTTATTTTCTATACTAGAGAAAGCAGTCTAACAGTTTGCTTCTGCTACTAACAGTCTCTGTTAGCCTTCTCGATTAGGGAAAGCAGTCTTTCCTATTCTCAAAGAGGCTGTAAAGCAGGCTCTTGGATATCATGCTAGGGTAGAAGGTGTTGGTATTCATTAGGAAGATCTAATGGTCTTGGAACAGTAGGTGTGAATGATTCCCTTCCTGTCGAGAAGGACATATTGTATTCCTAGTGATCCCCTTATCTCAAAGTAGCACAGTAGCAGTAATCTATTGCTAACTTTCCATTGAAGAAGGCTGGCAGATAGTGGAATATACTGGATTTCCTTCTTTATCCCATATATTATAGTTTGTGGACTTACCTGATTAGTTACTTTGTCAGTCATTCTCTCGCTGCTAGACAGTGTACAATAATAATAATCTGTCAAGTGTGCGTCTGTTTGCTTCCTGTTATTTCAACAACAAAAAAATAGGACCTAGTGATCATCTAGGATTGATCCTTAATCCTAATTCTGTTACGGATTATTCTGGGGTTGTTTAAGGTCTTCACTAGCACTGAGGGCTAGATAGTAGAACTTAAGTAAGAGCTATATATTGTGCTAGATGTGCATCTAGGTCAGTGTCGAGAACCCAGTAAGTAGACCTTTGGTACCCAGAGTTAATAATACTTTATGGATATCTGTCATTTAGTATCATCTATTGGCAAATATAAAAAATGCTTTCAGTAAAAATATTTGATATGTTGTGTAAGCTTCTGGTTCCTATGCAGTGTTCATCACCTTGTTATGTCCTTGACACTGTATACAGTACAGCATTTATAGAGATACATTAACTTGGTTGCAAGCTCATGAGCTGTCTAGCATAGCACATTGTTGGAGGTGAGGCTGGCATTTTATTGAGGCTTTGGAAAGGTTCGCTACTCATTTTATATTGCTAATTATATATCCCCATATCAGTATACTCACCTGTATTATTGCCCACTCCCACCACCCCCCCATTGTTATTAGTTATTCCATTTTAGAACAGTTTGATTTCTTACCTTGTATCAGCTAGATGCAGCTCCCTGCATGACTACTGATGACGGAGAGCTGGAAGCTCTCTGTGTAAGCTGAGAAGGATCATCTGATGCTATCAGCCAGTGAGCCCCCTAGAGGGCTAAAGAATAGCTAACAGAAGACAATGTTTAGGGGTTTCTGGCTTTTCGTCGTCCATAGTGGAGGCGGGGCTCTGCATCCCAAATAAGAAGCAAAATGTTTTGAATACTTATAGTGGAGGGGCCCTGCGTCACCAAAACCTCTTCAACGAGCTGCGTTGCTCGTGAGCTTCGAGGTTTCCTTGCGGTGTTAGAGGTTGGAGTAACCATCTAAAGGCATTTAGATCTGCAGTACATCTTGTATTCTTCCAGAAGATGAATTATGTTCTAATTTCCAGATATAACTCCTTAAATTACCAATATAGTGTCAGGAATATTTTCTCACCTTTTTTTCCAGTGCCGCACAGGTCTCCTCATAACTGGCTCTGCCTCCTTGGCTGAGATCATCAAATTTATTGATCGCAGCCAATCCAGTGGTTTCCCAAAGGAGAGCACTGGGAGACTATTGGGCATCTGCGGCACTTCTAGTGGCCGTCTGAGTGACTGCCACTAGAGGTGTAACTTTCCTGCAGGGACATGCAGTAGACACCAGAACAACTACATTAGCTGTAATTGTTCTAGTGACTATAGTGTCCCTTTAAACCATTCATTTCACAAGTGCCTTGCCATCAATATGTGCCATGCTGTCAGGCATACTTTACTGCTTCACGTAAGTGTACATGCATGTCAGGTATGTAACCTCTTTCCAAGATATAGCTGGGAGTGGTTTCTATGAATCATTTCTTGGAAGTAACTGGTGTTCTATGCTTACCTTTTGTTGGAACATTACTCCCATTATTGATATGGAATGTTTGTGTATTAAATTACTTTTATTCTTAGATCCTTCATCCCCTCAATAAAAGGCTCCAGCTAATCTGTTGCCCAGTGTACTAATATATAAATTAGGCAAGTGTTAGTAAAATACAGTAGTAGGCATGTTTTAGTGTGCAAGCAATTAATGCATAAAGTGTTAATATCAGTAAATTAATGTAGGATTATCACTAACTTTTTTTTCTCCTTAAATCTGTTTAAAACAATATCTTGCCCTCTTAAAGTACTCTTGATCTATACTCCTTCCCCATTTTGTTTATTCTTTTTCACGTTTCCTTTTTATTCATGTCTTACTCATTATCCTCTTTTTCTTACTACTTGTTTTGCGTTCTCTCTTCCTAATTTCTATACAACTTTAGATTTAATACTGATGTTTTTACTTTGTCACCTATTAATAGAATTTCTTTTCAAACACTCAGGTTGCAGAGAGCTTGTGATATCAACAGCCAGACATTCAGAATCCATGCTTTGTTGAATAACTTGTAGATTTCCACAGTTCATATAACAGGAAAGAATTCTCTGATATAGTGTGGCCAGTTTATCCAAGGAAAAGCAAAGTTTGGAAGAAATCCTTTATATAAAAAAAATTAAAGGTGCAAGGTATACAGTATAACACATATAAAATAGAGGTAATTTCATTTGGCCGGGTTGGAGGAGAATATGCACCCCTGCAAATAAGATTGCATGTAAGAATGTAGTGGTTTTTTTTAGGCTTAGCATCCTCTGACAAAGCAACCTTCCTCTTATTCAGGAAATTGCATCAAGATTTTTTTACTCAAATATTAACTTGTTCTTGTTTCTTGTAACGAAAATTGTTCTAACATGTAACACTGTATGGCTAAACATATGTGGATACCACTGTTATTTGTTGACTTCAGTTGTTCAGACCTCGCTAGTTGCGAACATGTGCATGAAGCAGGGGAAGGCAACCTTCAGCACTCCAGATGTTGTGGACTACATCTCCCAAATGCTCTTACAGCTATAATGCTGGCAAAGCATCATGGGAGGTGTAGTCCAAAACATCTGCAGTGCTGAAGGTTTCCTATCCCTGGCATAAAGCATGAACTCACTATAGACAAATATCGGCAGTACAGTGGGTCATAATGAAGAGCACAGTAACTTTAAACATCATACAATGCTATCTTTGGCAAATTTTATTATTGTGAATTATAAGCTTAGAGGGCAACAACAGCCCAGCCACAGAGTAGTAGACCATGTATTCTCACTGAGCAGCAGAGGCATGTCACTTATAAAAATCATCTGCTGCAGAGTTCCACTCACTACAGAGTTCCAAACAGACTCTGGAAGCAACATGCGCACAATAAATGTGGGTTAGGATGTTCATGAAATGTGCTTCCATGGCTGAGTAGCTGTATACAAGTCTCTCAACAACATGCACAATGCTAAGTGTGAGCTAGAATGATGTAATGCACACCACCACTGGGTTCTCAAAAAGTGGAAACTTGTTATCTGGAATGATGATCCATTTGACACTTTTCAGCCCTTTTATTTAACTTTTGTGTTTTAGAATTTATGCACATAAGGATGACAATTCTTCCCTATCTTCAGATGTTTGTTCCATAAATTCGAAATGGATACACATTAAAAAGGAAACAAAGTATATATGTATTGACAAATTGTAATATTGTAGCAGTAATGTAAAATAGTAGATGCACTCTAAATTGAATTGCAGGGTGATAACTAGATCTTATGAATGTAAAGCTGCATTAGGACACTTGGCGGTATGGCAGGATTATTTGCATATGTAGATTATTATTATGATATTTATATAGCGCCATCAAATTCTGCAGCGCTTTACAATGGGTGGACGAACAGACATGTAGTTGTAACCAGACAAGTTGGACACACAGGAACAGAGGGGTTGAGGGCCCTGCTCAATGAGCTTACATGCTAGAGGGAGTGGGGTAAAATGACACAAAAAGGTAAGGATAGTATTAGACTAGTGACAGTTGCAGAAGAGGAATTAGTCAGGAGCTATTAACAGTTTTATTGATACGCTTTTATGAAGAAGTGGGTTTTTAACGATTTTTGAAGGAGTGGAGACTGGGTGAGCATCTAACAGAGGAGGGAAGCCAACGGTGCAGCCCTCGAGAAATCTTAAAAGGCGAGCATCAGAGGTGGGAGTACGGACAGAAGATTGACGTAAGTCTTCAGCAGATCGTAAGGGCCTAGATGGGACATACTTGTGTATAAGGGAGGATAGATAGGTGGGAGCAGCATTATGTAGAGATTTGAAAGCAAGAACCAGAATTTTAACTTGAGCTCTATAATTTTATAGCAAGCCAATGTAGGGACTAACAGAAGGGTGAGGCATGGGAGGTGCGGGCGGACAGGAAGATGAGCCTCGCTGCCGCATTCATTATGGACTGTAACGGCGCAAGTTGGGAGCACGTAAGGCCACTAAGAAGCGGATTACAGTAGTCAAGGTGAGAAAGGGCAGTGGAATGGACCAACAACTTAGTCGCATCTGGCGTTAAATAGGGGCGGAGGAGCGAAATGTTTTTGAGATGGAAATGACAGGATTTGGCGATATATTGAACATTAAGGCTTGAAGGAGAGGTCGGAGTCAAAGAGAACACCTAGGCAGCGAGCCTGCGTGGTGGAGCTGATGGTAGCACCTTTGACTTGGAGGGAGACAGACACAGGAGTAACAACACTTGAGGGAGGAAAGACCAGAATTTCAGTTTTGGTCAAGTTTAGTTTAACGAAGTGGGCAGCCATCCAGTTAGAAATAGCAGAGCGGCAGTCAGATACACTAGTCAAGAGGGACGGGGAGAAATCAGGAGAGGACAGGTAGATTTGTGTGTCATCTGCATAGAAATGATATTGGAAGCCAAAGGAGCTAATGAGTTTTCCAAGGGAATAAGCAGTTGTGATTAGTTACGTGTCCCTGTCATCTTTTAATGTTTTATAAATGATCTCACTGAAATCCACAATTGATGGTATACATTAGAAAAGGTAGATACTACTTCACACGTCTTGAAAAATGGCATCATGACAGAGCATTACCAAACACTCTTTGCCATACTTTGGCATTTTCTATGAGTCGCCATTCGTGATAATTGATAGAACCATTTGACATCTTGTGCAGTTGAAGTTAAATCTGGTAGATCTCAAACTGACATGCCCACTTTGTCACAGAAGCTCCCGTGCAACAGCCTGCTGGAGAGGCATTAAAAGATAGCCTCCTGCCCACAGACTATGGGTCTGGTCACAGACTTTAAAATGATATATAGGAGGATATGAGGTTACATTGTGTTAATGTTGAGTTATTATGTAAAATGTTGAGCTGTATGTCAGCTATTGTATAATGTAAAAGCTATTGTGTTATGTGTCTTGGTGTCCAGCAGGAAATTAACTTATCATGTCTTGACCTAATTATGTCCCAGAACACCCCCCCTGTTGTGTGTAGTGGGATAAATGCATGTGTTTTTCTCTGAAATAAACAGTTCTCTTGTTTACCCAATACGACTGGTCTTGTCCACTATGTTGGGGAATTTTACAAGGTTTCAGAGGGTTAGAATCACTGTATGCTGTAGCTGAACCCAGGACCAGCGGAGGATTAGAATAGCGGAGACCAAGGGACACTATGAGACCCTGCAACCCGTGACAGTCTTGTAAGAGATTCCAGAGTTCTCCATTTTGTACTCTCACATGTATAAGTATGCACCAGTGAGAATCCTCTTGTTGTGCCTTGCTATTTTTCTATAGTCGTTACTTATTATTAATGGGGGAAGGGATCTATGTGTGCAATGTATAATAGATATGTTTGACATCCCATTGTGCATGTGAAAAGAAATCTGCGGTGGATTCCGTTTTGTTTCTGAATCTTCTATAGTTCTCCATTCAATGCTCTGGATTTATGCGTTTAAGGGGAAATATCCTTCTGGTAACTGAATTTTTCAATGCTATGGAACTGTTAGTTCTCATAAGTAGTCTACGATTCTGGCTTGACTGGCTGCAGCTTGTTAAAGTATCAGTTATTCTCTAAAGTCTGAATGTCCCAGAACTGAATGGGGTTAAACCATCCGGCTACATATGGGCCATTCGTACTAATAAAAATCTGGACGTTGTTGATGGAATCCAACATCCAGATTTTGTAATTCTGACCCGAACGTGTCTGAAATTGTTTTCTGATTTCAGCTGGGTCAAACATTTCCGGACGGGTGAATTACAGGCCAAATGCGGCAAATTCAGGCTTAGCTGAATCAACTTCAGGCCTGGATTATATAAAAGGACTGTTTTGTGAACTCATTATTTTGTCTGAAATCGTGCAGAAAGAAAGAATTAGTAAAAAAAAAAAAAAAAATGACCACATGAAAAATAAAAACCACGCCGCAAAAATAAAATAACAATAAAAATCAATTTTCACCCATAGAGGACACATTGCAGATGATAGTGGGGAATAATGAGTTCACAAAACAGTCCTTTTATATAATCCAGGCCTGAAGTTGATTCAGCTAAGCCTGAATTTGCCGCATTTGGCCTGTAATTCACCCACTATCATCTGCAATGTGTCCTCTATGGGTGAAAATTGATTTTTATTGTTATTTTATTTTTGCGGCGTGGTTTTTATTTTTCATGTGGTCATTTATTTTTTTTTTTTTACTAATTCTTTCTTTCTGCACGATTTCAGACAAAATAATGAGTTCACAAAACAGTGGGCATAAAGAACTCCACTAGCAGAATAATAACAAAAGCTTTAGATAGGTAGTGATTACAACACCATTATTCCCATTGCACAAGTAATGGTTACATCCACCATAATACAGTTAACTCGGAAAAACAAATAAGGAATCTGTGTTTGCAGAATAGAATAAAACGGATGTATACATTTATATGTATTAAACCTGCTTCCCCCTCCCCTCGGTTCATCTCTTGACCTACAGCAACGGCTGACCTAAAAGAAATTCATAGGTAGCTTCCCAGAGCCAATGGTTTCTCAAGTAACAGAACCAAACTGTAACTAACAATTGAGTGCTTAGGGTAAAGAAAGAAGAAAAAAAAATATATAAATATATTATTTATTGATATCTGGAAATATGGAGTTTTATTTGACCTTTTTGGGGGGCTGAAGAAATAATTTTTCATTTAATTATTTTTTTTCTACAGGTTTCAACTCTTATCCCACTTCTCTATTACTAGAGTGGAGGAGGGTAGGTAGGAACTTTATTTTAGGTGATTGGCTGGCTATGGTATTGGGTACCCTTAGCCACCAAAGGGGTTTATTATTATATGGGAGGCTGACAATTGCATGTCCACCCCCTATTTTCTAATTAATTAATTTAATCATTTTATTTTTTTTAAGGGAAGCAACCTGTAAGAAGATATGTATATTTTAACTCCATGCATTGAGGGATGTGGAATTCCTAATGCCCGACACATGGGACGTGTAGGTCTCAGTGCCTGGCAGGCTGTTTTTTTTTTCTATTTTAGCTTTCTTTAAAAATACTTGAACCCCAAAGTATAAACCTAAAACTGTTAAAGTAACGGAAAAGCAAAACTGCCGCTTACCCATGTTAAACATGAGACGCTAGGCACAGGAACTCCAGGTCCCAATGATATAACTGCATAAATCCAAATAATGCTACAGTGCTCAAATTCTTAAACCATTTATTCTACAAGGTGCAGGAAAAAACAGGGGGAAAAGTTCAAGATAAACTCATCTAGGTCCTTCAACATAGTTTATTCCTTTAGCCCACCCTCAGGAAATAGCAGGGGTACCTTGGGATTGCATAGTGAAAGATGTATGTGTGGGCCCCGGTGCCCAGCCGCAAGTCATCCCAGCCAAGTAAGGAGCTCTAGGGCATGTGGTGAGGGTCAGGGGCGTTCTGTGAGCTCTGTAGTAATGCACAGGGCCGTCTTTAAGGAGGGGCAAAAGGGGCAGCTGCCCCGGGCCCAGTTACTCCTGGGGGCCCTAAGGCAGCTGCCCCATGGGCCCCCTGCGGCACCTGAGGTAATCAGGGGCCACAGCCCTTTAATACTGCTCTGGACCGGCCCGGGCCCCTGTTATATGGGGGGTGGCTGACTACATACTCACAGCTAGCCCCCTCACATACTGCCCTGTGAGTCTCTTTGTTTCCTGGGCATGCTGGGAGGCAGTGAGGTCAGATTGCTTCCTCCCAGTAAGAACTGATCACTTCCTCCTCAGTGCCGCTGGGGAGGAGGCACACACCACATGGAGGAGGATGCAAGCATTGTGGGGGAGAGGGACTGAGAAAGCTGATGGCAGACTCCCATCAGCCTGGGCCAACAAGCTCTCACTGGACCCCAGGGAAGCCACCTTTCTGTACCCAAAAGGTAAGGAGACAGGAGGGTGGCTAAATATGTTTTGTTTTTTGTTTTGCTAATTTCTGATATCACTTTTATTCAAGTGTTGGTGTTTGTAATGTAACACACAGGGAATAAGTACATGTTAAAAATCCTAGAAGAACCTGACAGTTCCCTATTAAATATAAATGTAAAAAGTATTTATTTTAACATATTGCATCAAGTGTTATCAAAGGCTGTACACCATTTTCAAATGTCACTTTTGCCAAATTCTGGACCAGGGTATGTAAGAACAGAGTTGAGACATTATATTGGCCAAGGTTGCTGGGAGTTGCTGTCCAAGAGCTGCTAGAAGGCAGAGATTAAAATATGTAAATGTACACATATATATATATGTGTGTATCTGGCTGTGTTTATGTCCTTGTGTGTATCTGGCTGTGTTTGTCTGTGTGTCAGTGTTTCTGTGTGTATGTATACCTCATACACCTGTATGTGCACCTGTGTGTGTGTTTCGGTGTGTGTGTAAGTGTGCATCTGAGTGTGTGGTAATGCATACATCCCAACATTTTAATGCCAACACAAATACACTCCTACATTCCATCTCTAGCTCTGTACACATATACACCCCTGCATTTATACCTTTATGTATGTGTGTATCTGAGTGTGTGTGTGTATGTGCCAGTGTGTGTATATCAAAGTGCTCGTATCTGTGTGTCAAAGGGTGTGTATCTGAGTGTGTGTGTATGTGTATGTGTATGTGCCAGTATGTGTCAAGGTGTGAGCATGTGTCAGTGTGAGCATATGTGTATCTGCGTGTTAATGTGTATGTGTATATGTGTTATAGAAATCACACAACATGCAAACAGACCCCTGCAAACACAAACATTACAAACACACCAGTTTGCTGAAACACTAATACTACACACAAATGTACACATGTATTTAAAAGACAACACTACATCCAAACACCCCCCTGCATGCAAATACAAACATTACATGCAAACACATTCCTGTATTAAAACGCTAATATTATATACAAACACCAACTCTACACACAAAAGTACACCTGCATTTAAAAGCCAACACTACAAACAATCACACATCCCTGCATTAAAATGCAAACACTACACACAAGTACACCACTGCATTCCAATGGTAACAGTACTCCTACATGCACACATACACTCTATACAATAACATGCTGACATTCATTTGCACAAACACTGCTCAAAAATACAACCCTGCAAGGATGGTAGATCCCCAGCTGGCATAGCATCGCAGGAGTTGTATGACAGATGGGGATCTATCTTTTCTTTACTCTTGTGCTACAGGGCAGGCCTGAATTATTTTTTGTTGCACCAAGGCACTCTCTACATTAGTTTTGCCTCTAGGTTGGGGTGGAGGGAGTGATTGCATGCCCAGGGGGCCCAAACAGATGCTTGCCCAGGGTCCAATCAATATTAAAGACGGCCCTGGTAATGCAAGGCTGGCTGCCCACCACCCTGACACACTGATGCAGCCCATACAGTAGATACCTCCCAAGGCCTTCTGCCCAGCAGCCACGTTTTGCTCCTAACTTTCCACTGTCTGAGGGTATAGTGTGCTTTGTACAGTAGGAATGTGTTTGATCGTAGTGCAGTTTTTTACATGTACTGCATGTGCTCCTCTATGAACGTTTGTGTGACTTGCTATAAGGCCCTAAATGTGTGATGTGCTACTCTGGCACTAACTGCGTGATTTCTGTACACCCAGGGCAATGTGTATAAAGAGCAGCTTTGGGCTAAGGTGGAGTAACTAACACAGATATTCTGTTAGTTTTCACGGTTATTGTCCCACATTTAACAATTTGCTCTGAAGCTGCACTTTCACTTGTGGGATCTTTGCCTTTCCCGTAGCATATTCGCTTTAATGTTGGATTTGAGTGGTAATCATTTCTGAAGCGTCTTCCTTGGTGCTGCCATCATCCTCTCTTAAAGCAGCACGGTCTCTTTTTAGGGTCTTTGCAAAGACTTCACAAACTGACTTGCCCACTTGTGTGTAAGCTGTCTCTAGCCAGGACCACCAGACTTCTGCTCCTGTTAAACCCACATATGAATATAAAACAGGGTTTGTGGAAGATCCTGCAAAATCATGGGATCTTAGATAATAGTGCAACAAAATGTCACACACACACAAATTACACAGAGCCAGCACAGAACAACCACACCAATTACATGCAGCAAGCACACTTGAGAGAGACTAAGGGAGGAGGTGAAGCAGAGCGAAACGTTCCAAATAATTCACAAAATTTTTACAAATTATTTTTTATTTTATTTTTTATTTTTTTGGACAAGCTGTTTTTGACTCAGTTTTGCCATTCTAGTCAATGAAATACCTCAGTCCATGTCAAGGGCTCTAGGCAGGTGCCCCAGTCTTTCTAATTTAAATCATGTTTCTGTCAGGACAAAATAAAATGTGAAAACAGATAAGTATATTGGGTTATCAGTTTAGTCCTTTAGACAATTAGATTTTTTTATTATTTTTTTTTTTTTGTAATGAACACACCCCTGTTATATCTATTTGTACAGTTTAATGTGAGCTGCTAAGGTATATCAAATTTATGACCTCAGCAGTTACTCTTTAACTGGTGGGTAAGTTCCTGTAAAGTAATATTTCATTATGGTTTGATTAAAAAAAAGTTTGATGAACCAACTTCCTGCATTACAGTGGTGCATTCATCCGCAAGGTGAGATTTGTTCATTACTTCTGCTCGTAATCGTAAATCAATTGTGACATCTTCTTGTTCTCAAGGGTGTGTAAAGCTGTTTATCAGCCCAAGCCCCGGGGACCTTATGAAATAGAGGGTGGTTGTATAGCGGCGGTCATGTAGCATTAGGCAGTGAGCAGGCAGGAGAATTTCAATAGATAAATGTCCAACTTGTGCAGTGCAGGCAAACATGTTTTTACCCACAGGTAAAATTTCATATTTGCTTGTCATATCTCGATATGACATGCATAGTGTTACCGTCCATCTTACTGTAAAGGTTTTCTCATTTACAGATCACATTTTTACTAATCTTTTTATAAGTATTTTAATTTTTACCTTTTAATTAAATGCGCTCTGTAATGACTTTTGCAGCATCCTAAAGCGTTTAACGGCCTATACCAAGTATTTGAATCTTATTTTCATTGCAAGTTTACTTTACTTATAATATGTTCTTATGTATTGACTATATAATTTATCACACTGATAATTTATGTTTCACTTGTTTTTGGATTTTGTTCAATACAATTTTTACTTCCTCTCCTGCTGTAACAGTACAGCCATCACTAATGTTTTATTGGTGTTCCGCTAATGTAACACACTTCCCTGTCGTCCCTTCCTTTCTTCTTTTTTGGAACCTTAACATAGGAAAGGTGTTACGGATATGTGTAACGGTTAACAGAGTTTAGAAAATGAAGCACAAATTGAGAGCTATTTAAGTTAACATGCACAAAGAATTAAACCAATACATTTACCATTTTATTTAGGAATACGAAATGCCGGTATACCCATTTAAAAAATAAGCACGTAAAATGGTCAAAAAAAAAAAAATGATACCTGCAACAGGACCATTTTTTAGTACAAATAGTGTTAGGAAGGTTAACAAATCTCATGTTCCCTTCCAAGTGTCTCGCCCCTTAAAATGGCGGTAATTTATTATAATTTTTTTAATGTTTTATTCAATTTTATTATTTTTAGAGATGTCTGAAATATTTGTCAACTCCTGAACTAGATTGTTGGCTTGTTTGAGCAGGGCCTTCTTCACTTCTTGTCTCAGTTAATGTTCTGTATGTGACTTACTTGATGTCAAATATCCCCATTCTAGAATTGTAAATTGCTGCGGAACACGTCATTGCTAGATGAATACCGACAATGATGATAATAATAACTATGAATGTCTTGCAGTACACCACGACCCAAGTTCCAGTTGTATAAAGTGACTGCTAAATTACTTGCCCGTGCAAATTGATCATTCAATAAATAATGCCATTAAATAAATACTGTATTTCCTCTTCCACTAGATCAAGCTTTTGTGACACTGGCTACAAATGATCCATATGTGAAAGGGGCGCTGGTATTGGGGTCATCATTGCGACAGCACAATACTACAAAAAAACTGGTGGTGCTAGTACCTCCTCAGGTGTCAGAGTCCATGAGGTAAGAGTCACTCTCAAAATGGCTAGATGACCAGGACCAATTAAAATGTGCAACAAAATGGCAGCAACTACTGAGAATCAAATGATTTACAAACATAATGCTTACTTTTGTATCTGTGCTGTTGGTTGTGCATGTATCTTTGTGGAATCATAAAATGCCAGTGCATGGTCATGTGCAGGATACTACAGGTGTTTATTGATGTTTGCGAAGGATAGCTTTCATTTATCTACACTGGGGTATGGCGAGAGAGGTGGGCATCTTAAAGTAAAATAAAAATGAAATTTGATAAAGCGATAGGTTGTGTTTTATGGTTACATTTAAATACATTGATCAAACCAAAGGGTACTTCACTAAAGGGAAATATCACGCTTGGTGCAACACAAAGAGGGAGCTGCACTACCAATATCCGAAGTTGAGAGTCCAGGCACAGAACAGAGCGCAAGACGACAACAACATGTTTACTCCATAACCGATTCTCTGTCAAGTCAATAAAGACTCAGTTATGGAGTTGAAACGTTGTTCTATTAATCCTTTATCCACCATTTGTGTGCCGGACTCTACTTTGGATATCATTTATTAAAAGTAGCCTAAACAGTCCAATTTGGGTGTCTCCTACAAGGAGTAAACTGACCTCTTTCATTTGAATAGGTAAACTATGGTCCACAGTGGAGGGTGAACATCATCACACTACATTGTGTGAACTATCTTTTTCATGACGCTCAGCCAACCATTGAACACCCTTTATTATCTCAATTATTGATAATTGCATCCAGCCCAGGGGTATCTGACTGGTTTAGTTTACTTTACTCCATTTGCTTATGTGATTTTAAGACAAAGTGTCTGTATTTGAGGTTATTGCTCTGAATAAACCTGCACAGTTTTGATTATTTTTATTTTTTTAAATCTTTAAACAGGAAAGTGCTTCACAAAGTGTATGATGAGGTGCGAGTGGTCGATGTCTTAGACAGCAAGGATTCCGCTAACTTGGCTTTAATGAAAAGACCAGAACTTGGCATCACATTAACAAAACTCCACTGCTGGACCCTCACAGAATACTCTAAATGTGTTTTTATGGACGCAGACACAGTGGTAAGGATTTCACTCTCATGTTTGTTGAGCAGAACAGTGGACATCAATAGTGCCTTTTTTTTAAAACACAGACCGGAGTCTGGCAATGCTAATTGGTTTTTATTGATTAAACATTCTGAGTGCGCCCATATAACCACACGGTTTCTGGGATATTTAACAATTTGATTTTTAATATTATGCTGGTATTTATTAATCAAGTTTTGATGAAAATACCCATGTCACTAATAATATCCAGATGGTAACAATTCACTGTGTAGAGAATGAGCCTCAGTACTTCCTTCTAGCAACCAGAGGAGAGAAACTCCACTCTTAACACATGGAACAATTTGTCCTAAAGGTAACCTAATGCAAGCTGGCACCTTATTTATAAAGCATAAACAAAGTGTCATTTATATAAACAAAAACATTAAAGTACTTAAACACAAAAAAAACCAACTATAACCATTTCCATTTATGCCACAAAAAGGGAAACAAATCTTTTATGGACTCTAAATGGCAATACGATTTCTCCTTGGATCAAGAACCTGTTAACATACATAAAAATTATATCCTTAAAGGGCCAAAATCCATGACATCATATGCGGACCGAAACCTTGGTGTTCAAGTGAAAACATTAAGAAGGACCAATCAACCCTGTTGAACACTTTCTCTGTATCTGTTGAGGCCAAGAAGGAGGGCGAAGATTGGGTCCATGCCACATGAATCAAATTAAGTGCTTTGACTGTGTTGTTTCTGGCCTCTCGTCCCGCAATGAAGCCCACCTGGTCTGGATGAATAAGGCCAGGTAGAAGGGGCTGAAAGCTGGGGGCCAATATTTTTGCAAAGAGTTTTAGATCAGCGTTCAACAGGGAGATCGGTCTGTAGCTGGCACAGCAGGTGGGGTCCTTCCCCTCTTTTTGTAACACCACTACGTGGGCTAGAAGCATATTATGGCCCCATCAATCCTCCTTCTTGGATATTTTTGAATAGAGTTAGAAGGTGGGGGGGGGGCGAGTGCCAGAAAACATCCTATAATATTTTGCTGTAAATCCGTTGGGATCTGGACTTTTCCTTAATTTGGCCAGTTTAATGGTGAGTCAGTTTGTCCCTCGTGATCTCTTCCTCCAGGGCGGCAATAGATTGGGTATCCAGTTTGGTTGTTAAATAACAGGCAATGCAGTTCTTCTGTTGAGTGAGGAAGTTCATGCCACCATGATCCGATAGTGGTGTTTTGAGAGGGTAAGAAGTACAGTGAGGAGTAGTATTGTCAAAAGACCTCTGCGATGGTCGTGGGTGTGAGAAATGCTTGCCCTGCATGCAAGATCTTTTTTAAATGGCTTTGTAACCTACATGCTCGTAGTGCTCTCAGTAGCATCCTTCCACTCTTACCATATTCATACAAGGCTTTTTTAGTAAGACGAAACTGGAATTGGATTTTCAGTGTCAAGGAAGAGTTGAGTTTCGCCCTGGTCGTTAAGAGTTGTTTGTAGATCTTTTCGTTTAGAGTAGTTCATGTGTTGGGTTTCCAATTCGGTTAGCTGGTTAACTAAATGTGCGATTTCCTGAGACCGCAATTTTTTTCAGTCAGGTTAGTGTTTAATAAGAAGCCCTCTAATGACGCATTTGTGTGCTTCCAAAATGGTTGAAGGCGTAGACTCTGGGATTTTATTGGTGAGGAAAAAGTGGTCCATAGTAGATCGAACATCCGCCTGTATCAACGAATCATCTAAGAGGGATTCATTTAGCTTTTCATGTAATGTTATCCCTAACTCAAGCCCCATTTAATGTATAAGTGACTTGTGGCTCCTTATTCCAAAATGCACGTCTGTATTGGATCTTATCTGACACTTGCCTGCCCAGCCCCCCAATTTATGCAAATCCTTCTGTGTTTCCCTTGTGTGAGTGGTATGTAAAGCCATCCTGCCTTAGATTCCTTCCATCATGACTTTCAAGTGTTTGCAAAACATGTTCTTAGAGGTGGAAAGATAACACCCTACATTGGAGTATTCATTGAACTTGAAATGGGTAATTGTCTTGTCGTTTCTCCTTAATTCCCAATTTATTGAATAATCCGCAGTGCCAAAGTAATTCTGGTGAATTCTGACTGCACTGTAAGATGCCAGAAATAACTTTTTTGAAATGGTTTACACTTTATCCATCTTAAACTCTGCAGGTTTTATCAAATGTTGATGAGCTGTTTGAGAGGGAAGAGCTGTCAGCAGCACCAGACCCGGGGTGGCCCGATTGCTTCAACTCAGGAGTGTTTGTTTACCAACCATCTTTAAAGACCTACAGTGACTTGTTACACCTAGTTACAGAAAAGGGCAGCTTTGACGGTAAGTGAAACTGCTTGAAAGCTTATTATTCCTCACATACGAGGCGCTCCAAACTAAAGAAGAAATCCCAAATTATCCGGCACTTTTTTGATTTGAACATGTCTGTTTCAGAATGATTGTTTCAGAAAATGACCAAAATTACTGCTCATTGAAATGGGTCTATCTATAGTTACTTTAATGTATTTAATGTTTGCATGTTTTTCATTTATTATTTCAAAATAGTGGAATAGTTTTGGAGACTTAAAGCAATATAACTGGGACTTTTATGTGGGCTATTCCAAATAACTGTTCACTTACTTCTTTTTACATACTCGTTATTCAGGCTGCTAGGACATAATGGTTTCAGCTAAAGGAATGTACTTATAATTATTGACATTTTTATAGCGCCAGTTTATTCGACAGCACTTTACAATATTCTACAGCACTTTACAATATTTAACAATAAATGAGACAACTACAAAATGTTAAAGGTACTCTACATTGATTAGGACCCTCATCAAACAAGGTTAAAGTCTAGAGGAGGTGGAGTATAAAAACACAACAAGAAGGGCATGAAAGGGGAGGGCAACTAAGCAACAAAGTGGGAGAGTAGTAGAACTGGAAGGTGACAGTGAAGTGTGGCCCTTTAAGAGAGACCAAGAGACAGGTTTGTGAAATAGAAGGTACTCTGGGAGGCCATACACTTTTCTGATGGGTTTTGAGGGACTTTTTAGGGAGAGCCTGATGGGGGTAGGCACGCTGTTCCAAAGGAAAAGAGCTGCACGCACAGTCCTGCAAGTGCGAATTGGCAGTAATGGTGGGCAGCGGACAGAAGATCATTGGCAGAGCGGAGAGACCGAGAGGGGTTATATAGAATTAGGGAAGAATTGTAATGGGCTAGAGTTGTGTAGAGCTTTATAGATATGGGTTAGTATTTTGAATCGACTCCTATAGGATACAGGAAGCCAAGATAAGGATTGACAGAGGGGCGATGTGTGAGATGAGCGACCGTGATTAAATCAGCCTGGCGGCAGCATTCAATATAGAGTGTAACAGGGCAATACGATTTCTGGAGAGACCAAGTAGGAGAGAATTACAGTAATCAATGTGAGAAATCACTAGAGCCTAAACAAGAAAGGGGTAAACTTGGGCTATATTTTTAAGGTGTAATCAGCAGGAAATGGCAACAGATTGGATTTGAGGCACAAAGGTGAGGCCAGAATAAAAGATAACATCAAGACAGCAAGCTTGCAAGGACGGGCTGAAGTGGGTACCATCATCTTGTAGGGAGAGCAAAAGAGAAGGATTAGTATTTTGAGGAGGAAAAATAAGAAGCTCTGTTTTAGAGAGATTGAGTTTCAGAAAGCAGGAGGACATCCAATCAGAGATGAGGGGAAAAAAGGCAAGCGGCGGCGGGTTCTAGGAGAGTGGGGGGAGAGATCAAGAGATATAACTGGCTGTCAGTGACATGCAGATGGTGGCAGAATCCAAAGGAATTAATAAATTGCCAAGAGACAGTGTAAAGAGAAAACAAAAGGGGACCAAGAATCGAGGAGGGACCAAGGTTTGGAGAGAAATCACCAGCTGTCAGGAGCAGAGGAATAGAATGGGGGAGAAGGTGGGAGTAAGATTTAAATTTTTGGGGTGATGGCTTTGGATGGAGCTGGTAGAGAAAGGGTGCATATGTTTGGGGAAATGGCATGGAGTGGGGAGGAAAATAAAGCAGGGGCAATAAAGATTGTGTCAGCAGGAACCAGTAAGCAGAAAGATAGAGATTTTAGCAATGACAGAAGTGAGGGTAAAAATGAAAAATAGAAGGGAGAACATGATTAGGAGAATAGAGAGTTTATATTAGAGATGTGAAGATTGGATGGAAGAATTGGTACCATAGGATAGAGTGGATGATTGAAGGGTTAAAAGGCATACACTATGTATGCAACTATGCATCATGAAAATCACATTACTGTATGACAGATTGGAAATAAGACCAAATTTTTCATGATATCCACACATTTGCAGAATTATTAACTAAATTGGGAATTAAAACTGAATTTCAAATTTAAAGACTAAAATATCCAAACTGAAAATTTTTTTTTAAGCCAGCTATGATTCCAGTTCAGCTACGTTGGACTTCATATGAAAATCACTTAGAATTCACTTTGAATTCTCAGTTTAGTAAATAACCCTATTAATCTGACAAGTACAATCCTTGCCAGGGATTTCAGTAGAGCTACTTGTAGACATTGTCTGCGTGGAACCATGACGTCAACATGCTTATTATTTGCAAATCAGTGGCATAAAGTAAGGCATTATGAGACTAGCGCTGTGCAAAAAATGTCTGTCTAGTCACAGATAATTAAAACGTAGTTTACATGATTATGGCTCCCTGAGACAGTACACCTGTTTTTACAGTTTTGCCAAATGTATTTTAAGCTGTAACTCGCTTAGGGTGTAAATGTAGGAGTAAGATCGTGAATTGTGTTGTGTCCAGGATCATTTAATATTCCATGTGTCAGTCACCAGAGGTTAATTCGCCAGGAATTGTGGAGAACTGTAAAGCCATATTTGACAAATAACCTAATACAGCTGGATTTCCAGCATGGCTATTTGGGTTTAAAAGTTCATATTCCTTTTTCAATTTTCAAGAATTCACAGTTTAATAAAGACCTGAGTTTGCCTACCCACTTTGCACTGTACCAACTTTTATAGCTTTTGTAGTTTTCTTTAATTCTTCAGGATTATTTTTAAGGTTTTCTTTTAGTTTTTTTTACATTTGGTTTATTTTTAATTGTTATATATATATATATATATATATATATATATATATATATAATTTTTTTTTATTTTTTTTACAGATAAAGATCAAGATCTCTAGTTGATGAGTGCATGTTATTTTTAATTATTTTATTTTTTACAAGTACTTTTACAGGGAGGCAGAATGTAACAACAATTGTGTTTAACAAAAATTAAGGGGAAGGTATTAAGGTGGAATAGGTGGCCAGGGGATAAGGGTTAGAGGTAAAAAGCTTGGGAACACTTAAGCCCTAGCTGTATCGGACCAGAGGACTTGAAAATCCACTCGATATCCAGTGTAATCTTTGGGCATTGAGGTTTTGGAATCTAGTAACCCAAACTGTATGTTTGTGTACACGTGCTTGTGTGTGTGTTTTATTCACGGAACCCACCCCATGGTTATTCTTGTTAACATGGTTTTAATTTTGTTTGGTGTGTACTAGATGAGTGAGAAGTGCCCCATAGGTTTTTTTTTTTTTTTAATGTAATGTTTGTGGCTGTGGATAGTGACAGTGTTTTTGCTGCTATACGAGGCTACTTCAACAGTATTTTGTCCTGGCATCCTACTGACACAACACAAGCTTTGTGATGTATTCTTACAAATTCATCAACTCACTTCGATCTCAGTGAACTGAGAAAATGATGCAGAAAAACAGTGATCACTTTGTATTTGACTGTTGAATACATATTGCAAAGGCTGTCTGCTTAACATGGTAATCCGCGATTGAGTCTGTACAGCCCATTATTCTTTCTTAGGCGAAACCATAGATCTACTGAAAGACTTGAAGGTTGGTCCCTGTTAACATCTCAGTCCATATAACATTCCTTATTGGATGAATCTGGAAATGATTCTTCTAGTTAGAACTCGTGTCCTAAAAGATCTAATCTCCCTCCCCGTATGCAAACAATTTTCATTTTACTTGACCGTATAATTATTAATTTATTTTCAGGTGGGGACCAGGGTTTGCTCAACACATTTTTCAGTAGTTGGGCAACGAAAGATATCCACAAGCATCTACCGTTTGTTTACAACTTGAGCAGTATTTCCATATATTCCTACCTCCCAGCATTTAAAGCGTAAGTAATTGGTTAAAATCTGTTCAGTTTTTGAGCAATAACCTGTTGTCCTGCAATTGTCGCCCCACTCAGATATAAAATGTAATAGAATGTACAGAGCATCTCCAGTCATGAGTCCAGTCACATGAAAATTCCATTCACTCTCACAGCAACATCAAGTTACTAGGGTCTCATTGCAACTGCTAATCTGAGCGCTACTAAGGTTGGCTGCTGATCAACTTGTGGTAATGTCATTCTTTTCTGTCATGTTTAAATATAGAGGGCTTTCATGGCTCTTTGCTGCAACTGTGGGTCAAAAGTGGACAGATTGACATGTAAAGCAGCAATCAATTTGCTACGAGTTACATGAGTAAGTTAGTATTATACGGGTCAGTCTTCCATTGTTAGCAGGCTTACGATGCAAATGGAATTGAATACAATGACCAACTCCTAAAGGTACTGTACTATTACAATGTTATAGAAGCATCAGACTTTTTATTTTTTTTTACAAAAAACTATTAAGGAAGAATAAGAACTCATATTTAGATCAGTTATTTAGAGTTGTTGCATGTTTTAAAGGTTTTTTTTTAATTTATTTTTTTGTTAAACAATGCACTTTTGTGAGGAGAAGATGAAAATAACATGGGCATTGTATGGCATTGCTGGTGTGGGAAGTATTACGATATTTTATTTTGCGGTTTATTTTTTGTTTGTTTAGAACTGGCACAGATGGATGAGGCTACTCCATGCCTAGGTTTAATATAGCTAGAGTTATGGATGGTATCCCTTAGCAATGTATTTAAGGGGTTTCATATTAGTGAAACGGGGAATCTGTATCTTCTTTGTACTAAAACTGTCTGCTGCAACGTGGTTTTAATGGAAGCAAATGGGTACATGTTATGTTACCCATACCCTGATGCCAGTAGGCTGTGGCAGTAGGAGGGTTAATAGGGCCCCTCGTTGTTAATAAGGGTATTAGCCAACACATCACTATTAACAACCTGATTTCAGAGCAGTAAGTTTCCTACATGATCTAAAGGAACACTATGGTATTGCGTTTACAGACCTGTAGTCCTAATGCTGGGGTGTTCTTCTCTTAGTTTAAAGTCCTCCCCTCAATCTAAATAAAAATTGGGAAAAAAGGGTTTCAATCGTGATTTTTTTTTATTTTTTTTAAGAGCTCAATACACGTCCAGCGATTATGGTTTGAGACCAATCACCAATTTTGACACACAGCTATATTTTTCCTACTTTCCACAATCAACTGAACACTCCCTTTAAACTTTGGGGTTGCTTGCTGATTTTGACAGACCTTTTTTTTCATTAATCTGTCCCATCCAGGTGCAAAATTATTTTAACCTGGTAGCATTTGAATCATTCTGGCCTCAAACAAATCTAAATTGATGTAACCTAAGACATTTGCTTCTGTTATTCATAATCAGTTGGGGTCCTGTTTGATGTACCGTGGCTGTGAAAACCTGAAGCATATGTGTTGCATGTGTCTGGTCCTCTTTAAACCATTTCATGGACCCTTAAGTGCATTATTATTGTTGAATTGACACCGGCTTCTTGTCTAGTATTTTGATCTTGACATCTGGTTTGCCTGACACAGCTCATGTCCTGATTAATGATTTGACTTCCCCTTATCAGCTTGTTATCTACACTCTAGTCATTGGTCCTGATACTTCATATTTCTTGCTAAGTGTTAAGCCTGGCCACTCTAAGGTCCATTAATACACCTAGCTATCTTTTTCCTCTGTGCCTCTGGTAGGTCTCTGACTCAGGATCCTTACAGTTTCCTTACACTTTGTTTATAAGAAACTCTTTTTACTTGTCACCTGCTTGAACATCTGATTTAGTAATGGATGAATGTATTGTGCACGTTTCATGCTTTTCTCAGCACCTGTACAGTTTTCTTTTTGTAATGCTTACCTCCTGACAGTCATTGCTAAGTTCTGGTTATTAAGGACCTTCCTCATATGTGTATCTAGCTTGTCTTAAATAAATAATAATTAAGTTTAGTTTTTGAAATGTATTTTACATTTTTCAATTCAAGTCTTGGTGAATAACATGTTGTGTTTTAAAAAGAATATCTGCCGAGTCTTGCATTCATTGCTTACATTGATAGGTTACATGGTGTCTGGTATTTTGACTGTCTGACCTAAAGTATGGTATTGCACTAATAATGAGTTTGTAGGTCTAACTGACTATTATTACATCATCCATGAACATTTTGCCAAGCACTTTCTGTATTCATACCTGTCAATTCCAAACAGCTTGAGGTGAATATTTGATAACACTCACCTTAGCATGTCCACACAGAACTCCTGTTAATGTTCTGAGTTGGTATTTAAACCTCTCACTAAATGGCGGAAAATGCACCAGAACTACAATTAGGTGATTTACTAACAATTTAAACAACTAAAATGTAATTTAGGAAAAGAACAGTATATCTTAGAAAACAGACATTAGGATAAAAAGAGGGGCAGAGGGATTTGGGCCCAACAAAGGGACTGTCATTGCTAAATAAGGACACCTGGGACATATGAGTGTGCATTGTGCATGCCATGACAATATGGTTTATGAGTACAGTGGTATTTATACAATCTGCAAATATATGTTCATATTTAAATCTACGTTGGATACTTTATACAGCTTCATATACAAGGCACTTATTGTACCACTTCAACAAGTAATGAGCATGTTACAGGCTCCTGTATGTGACTGGTATTATATTTGTCCCTCTGGTAAAGGAATATTATACCATTGGGTTTGTATCAAATAAATAAACTCTGCCTTCTAAATGGGTTATGTGCATTTTCTAGGAATTGGTGTGCTTGGACTTGGTAGGGGACAGTAGGCTTGTTGTTAACTGCTATAAAATGCTTGTTGATTTGTTATACATTTTTCTAAACTATAGCTAGCTTCTATGATATACTGTGTTGGTTCCTTCCTGCATATAAAGGGACCAGTAATCCATTGCCAGTAGCTGGAATGTGCTGTGTAGCCGCTGATGAATGAAAGACTTTGTGATATACTGATAACATTGGCAACAGAACAGATGTTCTACTCTGTGAGCCTGGCGATAGTCCAGGGTTCATTTGACAGGAGTGGTGTTCCACACTGCACAAAGTCTAAAATCACGGTCCACTTGAGAATGTTGAGTTGCTAGCAATACGTTTTCCAGCTGTTCTATTTAGACTTTCATTTTTGCAATCCACCACAAATTTCTGTCTAGTAAAAAAACATTTATGGTGGCCATTTTGAGGAGGGGAGAGGTATCTTTACACACATAATTTAAAAATGAGTGCCTAACATCACATTACTGTCAGTAGTTACAGCAGTAGATAAAGTTTGCATATAGAAGCAAAAATCATTCACCTGGCTTCCGAAATTTGCTGTTTATTTTGTCTATTTATGTCAATAAAAAAAAAAAAACTTAATTCTTCTAAAATGTGTTCTCTGTTCAGGTTTGGAGGTAACGCTAAGGTGGTCCACTTCCTGGGTAAAGTAAAGCCATGGAATTATACATATGACTGCAAAACCAAGACTGTGAAAAGTAGCTCGCATGACCAAACACAAACTGAACCAGAATTCCTTTCCCTCTGGTGGAATATCTACTCCACTCAAGTCTTGCCGTTACTTACAGAACATGGAGTGGTTAAAGATACTGCAACAGGCCTGAAAGCGGTATGTATGTGGTCCAGGTGTTATCATCACATAGGTTAATTAAGAAAAAGTGCTTCCCTTCTATTGAAGTGCACCTGGCTAGCAAATATGGCCTAGTTGTACTTCTTATTACAATCTTCTATATGTTGTGCCAGTAAAATTGCTAAAATGTATTTGAAAGTTCAGTTTATTGCTCTTTTGTTGGTATAGAGCAGGGGTGCCCAAAAGGTAGATCCCCCAGATGTTCCATGATACTTTGTCATTCTAAAGCATTCTAAAGGCTGCAACGTTTCATGGGAGTTGTAGTTCTACATCTTGGAATGTACCTTTTGGGCACCCTTGGTATAGAGAAATAGCACTTGCAGGTCATGTGCACCACTATGAGCAGTTCCATGATGCTAACTGCTGTATCCCATAATGCAATGTGCACAGCTTTGCACTTTGCATTTTGGCACTATACATATCTATAGCTGAGACCAGGAAGCACATTTGATATATACATTTATGCACAGTATAGATTTAATTTTCTGTTAAATAAAATCTGTTTAGCTGTGTCACTTGCAGAGTGCCCTTAATTTCAAGTTTGATGCTTAAAGCAACACTTTCATTTTTTCTTCCTTTCTGTTTTCCTTTTCTAAAACCTTTTTGTACTTTAAACATTATACTAACCACTTGTCCTTTCTATATCTATTATCGGATCTTCCTTGTGCTGGATTTCAGTATCTGGGAGCTGCCATGATGTTCTCCTGTGTCCATGATATTTGTAGTTTATGTACAACTAAAAACCTAAACAAAACCCCAGGGAAAACAGAAGAGCAAAACTATTTTAAAGACAAAACCTAGAAAATGAGAGTGCTGCTTTAAATACTCCTGGTCATGTGCCAAACTACACATCCCATGAATCCCTGCCAGTTCTTGTTTTTTTGTTTTTTTTTCACTGGAGCATAGGTTTTGCAGTCAGTTAACAGCAAGAGGGTCTTTTTTTAATATCCCTGCCAAGGGCTTGCTTTCTCTTTACTGTTTTCTAATTGTGGCTCAACCTTTGACCTTTAATGCTTGGCTAAAATAAATAGGTCAGTGATATAGTAAAAATGTTTAACCATGGTGTGATGGGCTGTGGGACTATCATAGTACAGTACCAGTATATTTAGTTTAGTTTTAAGAACAAGTTTTTAAGACGTTTTAAACATACCTTTTATTTCTTTCCCCGAATGATTCCAGTTGTCTATTTTGTGTCCGCATATTTTGAGTCGGATCATATATCACTGTTCCTCAAGTGGGTGGTATGCATTCACACTGTCATCCAGTCTCTGATTAGCTATCTAGTATGGAAAGAATAAAGTACCTGTATTTATTGATAGATGTATTAATTCTTTAAAGTTGATACTTTTCTGAAAGAACGAGCAGTACTGATTGAGTATGCGATATCTTTCAGATACTATAAACTAGTTGGATCCAGGTTTTTCAGTCATTTATGTTTTCTTGCACCAATCACAAGTTGTGTTAATTAAAGAGGAACTGCCTCTTACACCAGCCAACACTATAAGGTGAGGAATGCAATAGAGGTAAATATAAAGCACATTCCACACTATACCATGGGGTATGTTATTACACCATCAAGCTCCGGTTGTACTCATGCATCTCCTTAGATATCATAGGAGTTCAGGCATTCTTCTTCGTAGTGCTATATGCACACAGTACCATTGTGGTTCATTAAATACTGAATTATATGCTTGTTTTCCTTTTTTTCACAACAAACAACTCTGACAGCGTATCAAATTAGGATTACTGTCATGCACAAAGAATGAGGAGATGGTGAATGCTTAAATTGTACTTTCACACCACCCTTCTACACGTTGAGCTATTCAGAGAAAATATTAGACATGTGCAATTCGTTTCATTCCGAATGTAATATCGCCGAAATTCAGACATTCGAAGTGCCGAACCGAATCGAATTGCCAAAGTGCAGAATTTCGAAAGTGCCGAAGTACTGAAAAGTGTCAAAACAAGAGAGGGAGGGAAAATTACATGAATGATGACAGGAATCTAACCCTAACCCTACCCCCACCCCTAACCCTAGATGTGTAAGTGGTTGTGGTGGTTAGGAATAGGGTTAGGGAATTGTCAAAGTCCTGAAGTGCTGAACTGAATTTTTTTGCCCATGCACATCCCTAGAAAATATTAGAGGTAGATCACAAAATCTATTTAAATTTCTGAAACCACTTCCAAATTGATCCAAGCAGTTAAATTTAATTCCACCCAAATCAATCAAAATAAGCATTCAAAAATAGATAACTACTCCAAAGTAAAATAAATAAGAACCAGCGGAAACCCATATCATTCGATAACCAGCAGATGGCCAGCAATATGGTACATCTCTTTCTTGTAAATGATGGGTGATGATGAGCTCATCGTTTTTCTCCTCTATCCTGAGTTGCCAAGAAAGATTATTGATTTACAGACAATGTTAACAGGAAGGATTCTGTGATTTCTTTTAATTCCCATACTGGGGAGCACATACATATATTATGAAACACATACAGTATATTTTATAAACTAAATAAAAATCAGGTGACCAGAGTACCGCCTATGCCTCTAGGGGACCAGCACAGTTATTCCTGTTATCTCCTCACTTGATATCAGGAGTATGAGGAGTTACTAAAGGGGTGGTTTAAGCACTAGAGCTACTACAGCCACTACTAAAAATAGGGACAATATTGATATTGTTAATGGGGATACTTCTGCTTTAGCTATATCTGAAGAGAGGCCAGACTGCTGCTGATTTGGGGACCCAGTTAAGTGTCTAATCAAAACTTATTTGACTCTTACCAGGGGTACAGCACCATAACTTCTAGAGTGAGCTGTAGTGCTTATATTACATCTTTACATAATTACCAGGATTCAGCAAATCACATTACCCCACTGTTTAAAATGCTGTGAAGGAAGAAGGAACGCATCACGACATTTGGAACTGTTGACTGATGGTTTTAAATCATTGGCATTTTTGTTAACATAGAAATAATGCTCTGAATTGAAATTATTCTGACACAGTAAAAGAGCTATATGACTGGCTCGTGTTACAGCTTTGACACAGGTATGGATGTGCTCTATTACAACTCTAGTAACCTCTTGACACCAGTCTTTCGGTTAACTAGATCTTGTTTGTGTTTGTGGTCTGGGCTTTATAAATTTTTCTATTGACTGGGAAAATGTTATGGAAGAAGTCCTGTGTACCTACATATATTGGGAGGAAGTAGGAACAATACAGTGTTTAATAGTTCCATGTGAGAACTATTTGTGAGAGCAGAGGTAGGTGGTGCTATTTGATGTCAGATATCTGAACACCCCCCCACCCCAAAGCACAGTACTTTAGGGTGGGGAATGGGAGGGGGGGAGATGGTCTATAAATGTATTACAGTCGGTTCTTAAAGCATATAACCACTACAGCTTGCTATAGTACCCTGGCCTTGTTCCCCAGTACAGAAAACCGGTTAGCAACAGTTTGCCCCTTACCAATTTCCCGCAGGGCTCCGAAGCTTCCTAGTGGTCCAGTGATGTGCTTTTGGCTTCTGCAAAGATGCAAAAGCCGGAAGCCATGTCAATCGCCATACATTGGCTGAGAGTGTCAAATGACCACTCTCAGCACATGACTGACATTCTGTACAATGTAAACAGACACTGGCAGCAGAATTTTTTTATTCCTTTAAAGGGGCAGATTAAGCACCATAATACTGACAATCAGTTGTGATGGTTATGGATCTAGCATGTTATGTGCATCATGTCATGGTTCTGTGGCAAACTGTTTGAGTGGTTTCACAAAAACTGGGGGTCACCCAGTCATCTGTAGCATAGTCCCTTGCTTGACTGTTAGTACAGAATTTACAATTTTGCAGTAGGAATATCAGTTTCAGCCATATTTGGACAGTACCGATGGGCTTAGAGTTTCACATTTAATTATTACTTTTGAATGTTAATTGCTTTCTATTAACTAATAGAAGGGTGTCCTGTATGTAACCCATGTACCAACTCAAGAAGAATCATTGAATGTAACAGTGCTTCATGAGGATATTGCTTTGGGCATTGAGCTGTTTGTGTTAGATCGTATAACTTGAAATAGAACCTGCTTAATTCCATACTCTATTCTATTTCTCATTTAGCCACTTGTGGTCAGTACTATAAACCTTCTAATTGTATTGAAAACGCATATTTTCATGAGTGATCAAAGAGAGCACTACAAAACAAAAAATGGTTTCTATACAGATGTATTTTGTCTAGACCACATATATTACACTGAAGTTGTCCGAACGCTTTTCAACTGTTTAACCATAATGTCAGCAGAATCCATTAACCAACTGACCAGTTTATGTTTATTTAATATCTGAAATACCCTTCCTGCATTACTTTTTTAAAGCGAATATTTTGCATCAATGTGGCTTGGCGTTCGAGCTGTAATAGTCAATGGCTTGCCCATATTGGACTTTAAATTAATAGCCTTGTTTGTATACAAGGCTCGGCGCAGCAGCATACGCATAAGCTGTATTTCATGATAAAATCTAGCATGCAGGTCTCCGGGGCAAAACGTATCTTTCAGTGTAAGTGTTGGCTTTCTCTTAACTGTCTTAAACTGTTCACAGCTATCGGGGTTGGTCTATTCACTGGCTTTCTCTTGTCGCTTCTGTAGAGAGGTATGAAGAACTTAAACCTTTTCATCCCTATGTACAACTTGCAAATTTCATTGTAGCTTTGTAATTTTTTGCTCTTTTTACTTTGTCCTGCTGGTTCATGTTTTTTTATTTTATTATTTTTTTTTTTGTTCTGCTTTGCCTGCTTATTTGCATGGGAGCTATCATTAGTTTCCTCATTTTAAACTACTCCTTGGTCGCTGTGAACTATAACACATGGCTTTTCTTTGATTGCTCCAGGAGGAAATTACAGAATCTGTGGAACATATGTCCATAGCACCTACTCACCCAACTATATCGTCAGAAGAGCGCAGGGAACGATGGGAACAAGGGCAGGTTGACTACATGGGTGAAGATTCCTATGAAAACATCAGGAAGAAGCTAGATTCTTATCTCCAGTAGAATTCTCCTCATGCACAACAACTGAAGACACAAGGACCTGTTAAAGAACTGTTTGACATCTAGGATTGTGTTCTACCACATTGTTTACTAAACTGCTAGAAGCTTTACTAAAACTTAAGATGGTGGGTTTCCATCTCTATCAGTAATACAAATTATGCATTCTCTGTTACAAGCCTGGTTTGTGCCATTTTAGATACTAGCCAAAAGGGTCACTTGACTTTCAGCAATCTGTTTATTGTTTTTAAAACTTAACCGGCATCAGCTGGTTATTTTAACCCAGACCTCAAGTTAAAGGCCCACCTTGCTTGATCAACTGATGCCATTTTCCATGATCCTCTTTATGGATTATCAAGGCTTTGTATGCAATATAAGTTTGCATATCCTGCAGTGGTACCCACGGAAATTTGCCTTTTCATCCACTCAGGTGCAAACTTGCTTAGCGTCAAACTGTTTCTGACCTTACACTCCTGATCCTAATGCTGGACTTCTACCAGTTAATTGAAGTGCACTGTAAACACACCTTGGAATGCTTCTTGTTTTGTTCTGTACCGTACCCCAGGAGGCTATTGTAATGCATTGACTGAAGTAACTAATATGGAACTTCAGGAGGAAAATAAAACTGATAATGTTCAGTATCACTTGCTTGAATTCTATGGCAGTTCAATATGAAGAGATGTTAAAAGATCAAATACTTACACAGGCTGCCTATAAAGTAGGTAACTTAAATATCCGCTCAGTACATCAGCTTTAACATTTAGTGTGTAGATTATTCTTGTCCACTTTGTAGCTAGAACTTAATTGTAATGAACTGGCAGAAAAAGTAAGTGAAAGATGGCAAAATAAAAATATTGAGTGGAAATATTTGCAACCGTCTTGCAAATATTAGACCAAATTAAGAAAAAAATGTTTCTTTTAGTATATTGTTAGAAATTTTCCAATATGGGAAAATGTTCCAGCTCTATTTTAGCCAATGTTTTGCAAGATGGTTGTCAATTTTCCAATTAGTTTTTTAGTGAATACAAGCCACTCAAACACAGATATAGGAGACTGGAAGGCCACTGTTACAGTAGCACATTCCTCAAACATTACTGCTGTACTGAATATTTTCAGGTATTTACTAATGTGAATTGTCTGGAATTCAAGTTGGATTTCAAATTTTAGGCAAACAAAAAAGCTGAAATAAAAATTTAGTTGGCTTGGATAATATTTCCAATTCAGTTACAATGAATTACATTTCACGCTTTAATGAATAACCTTTATCAATTAGGCTGTTAAAATTACTCAAAAGTGCCCTGAATGTTGAAACATTAAAGATGACAATAAACAGACTACACATTTTCTTCAACTTGCATCATAATTGAAGGGATGTACTGTAAACCTCTCTGTGAGGTTGAAAGAAATACAAACCTGTCTAAATGGTTAATGTCAAAGAGATTTATTTGTAAGCATATTTATCAATAAATATTTGAACATAACATTTTAAGTCCTTCATGTAGCGTCAAGACTCTGCAAAAAATAAAACTCCATTTCAATTCAAACAAAAATGTTAAAAAGTGCATGTGTGTATCAGTTTGTATTCTGTCTTTTCACCCTCCAATTAAAAGTGTATTTAAAATGGTCCTAACGTTTAAGATACTCTCACATGCAAAGACAAAGCAAATTAACTCATACTTACAAAGATCCAATGTAATGTACAATATAATACAATACGTGGGAAAATATCAATGTTGTGGTGAGACCAGCGGTGTTGGATGAATTAAGATTTATTTCACTATTTTAATTTCCACAGGGAAGCCATTTTTTTAAATGGTACCTGGAACACTAATGTAATAAATGCATGTATTTAAAATGTTTTTTTTATTATTTTAAGGAGTTAGCACAGGCACCATGACCACTGGAGTGTTTGAAGTGGTAATGGTGCAAGGACTGTATGTGCACAGTCTCTGTAATAAGTACTGCACATATTGAGAAATCTGATGAAACTGACGGATGTGTAGTAAATCCATCTCTGTCAGCATTATTAGCTAGCTGGTACGAGAGTTCTGGGCTGGCTAATGTTAAATATGTGCATAAAAAAAACATTCAGTGTCCGCAAGCATTACATAGTGGTGATGGATCTCCAATTCTGGCACTGTCCTCCCTACCGTGCTGCCCTAACACTTCTCTCTATGATAACCTTCTTGTAGTGAGGAAGAGTGACATCATGGAAGGAGGATCAGGCTAGACTGTAAAAATAAAATATCAAATAGACACAAGTATAACGGAGCTTCAGAATTATAAATATTACCTTTCCACAAAGGAGAAAAACAAAGTAAGTTTAAGTGTCCTGAAATTCTGCAAGTTACACTGATCAGCCACAACATTAAAACCACCTATCCTTTAGGTCCTCTTCCTGCTTCCAAAACCGCTCTATTGCACCAAGGCATGGACTCCACAAGAACTCTGGATGTGTCCAGTGGTGTCTGGAACCAAGACAGCATCAGATCCTTTTAAGTCCTGCAGGTTGCGAGGTGGGGCCTCAATGGATTGGATTGAGATCTGGAGAATTTGGTGGCCAAACCATTCCTGACCAAATATCTGAACAACTGGTGCAAATTTGTGCTGATCAAATTGCAATCGGAATTCGCTTTAGCAAATATGATAATTGCCACTGCGGTCAGAATTATGCCATTTTCAACAGTGTTTAGTGAATAGTCCGGCATATGCATTTCACCCAACTATGGACAAGCTGGCAAAGTGTCTGGGATTAGAAAACATGAAATATGGACAAAACTGATATTGCCAGCCAGGAATGGAGTATTCCAGCTGCTTATTGAACGCCCAGGGAGGAAGCCTTACAAAATACCTTTACAAAAAAGGTATTTATCTCTTAAGATTAAATGGTTGTGTTTAGAGTGCATCTTTAATAGGTAATGGTATTTGCATGTGCGTTGATTGTTGATTATTTTGTTTAATTTAGTTTATAACAGCAACAGATAATCTTAATGTTTTGGATGTCGAATCATTTTAACAAGACCATCGTTTTTACAAACACACTCTTAAGCAACACAGCTTGAGAAACATTAAGAACTGATATACAGTCATACATTTGCAATATTAAGTCATGTAAAAGTATAAAATATAGACAAAATATTATCTTCACGGTATTGGCTAATATTCTTTTCCCTACTCCATCCTGGAGTTATGACTCAATAGGTGCTAAAGCATGTGACATTTTGTTTAGGGGAACCTCAATAGTAAGGAGTAATGCTGAAATAAAATCCACTGATACTAGTCTATATTAAACTACTGTATAAGCAAGAAAAAAATTGTTATTTAAGGCAATTAATTTAAGTAATTAAAAAAGAAATTAAGTGTAATTATCCAGCTGACCTAATGTGCAATGACCTTTTATGGGGGATTTGAAGACACTGGATGTCCTCATGCAAAGTGTGAGGATGCCCGATGTTGTTCAAACTCTCTGAAACAGCAGATATTGCCTCTAATGACTGTCTAGATGCATTCTTAGCCCTGCGATATAAACCTTGGAAACTGCAATGTTTTATATTGCAAGATTTATGGGGGCAGGGATGAAGATGTGTGACTTGTCTGGGTGCCTATAGAGTCCATCTCAGAAACTCCTTCTTGGCTTTCAATTGGACAGCTGCATAGTTTTACCTTCCATTAGCTTTCTGTGGAGCTAACAGAAGTAGTAGACACACCTCTCTTCTCTCCCAAGTCCAAGTGTGCCAGCCGGCGCATGCCCACTTCAGTGGACTCCATGGCTTACAGCTTCAATACTCTGATTTGAGTATTCGTCCGCACAGACTGAAAGTCTGCTGTAAAGAGCACGTATGCAGCTTTTGCAAGCTGTTCTTAGACAAAATCCCAATGAAAAAAAAATGCTGCAATACCTGTACTGGAGGTTTGGTAGACTTGGATACTGATTTCAGGCACATAAAGCACTGTACAAATGCAGAAGCAGACAGTAGCTGAGAATCTCACATAAAATGGGACATTTACAAGGAAGGGAGGGAAGAGACCATGAGATGGGTCCTCTGGATATGCACAGAAATACATTGATATAAAAAAGTGGGATAAGAAAAAAAATGGATGGAGCAAGTAATAAGGGCCTGATGTGCAAATAGGAGCTTACATTCCAAGTAAGAAGAGAACTGGTATTCTCAGTGAGGAGGCTGGGGACCGATATTGAGGTTACTGAGTGTGTGAGAGTTGTTTACATATACAGAATGCACGGAGAGTGCATTTCGAGACAGCACTGATAGGAGTTAGAGATTTAAGAATGGTAGAAGGGACAGAGAAATAAACAAATAGAAGGTAGAGGACTTTAGAAAACAATGGAAGCTTCTATAGAAAGGATGTTATGATATGACGAAGTCTAGGCGAGATGAGGCAGACGGCAGCTTTACATAGACAGAATTAACTGATATGGACAGGGGACTGAAACGCAATAAGAAAAGAAAGGAGAACAAATAGAGAGATGCAGGAACTTAACCGGCAAGAGGGGAAAGCGAACGTCTGAAAATGGAAAGATGAAGTAAAAAAATAGTGAGCACAAAATGTGTCAGGCACTTTTAATTCTGCTACTTGATATATGCATAAGATGTAAAGCATTGCTTTAGAGAGTCAGTAATTTTTTTTGTTTAAAAGGACCACTATAGTGCCAGGAGAACAAACTTGTTTTCCTGGCACTATGTAGTCCTTAGGTCCCCCCTCCCGCTGGGCTGACGTGGTGTGGGTGCCTATAGTGGTCCTTTAATCTTAGCTTGCTGTGTCCGAACCATCACTGGCAGAAATGTTAGCATGCATCTCCTACTAGGAAAGTAAATAAATACCTGGGGGGTAAAAACAAACAAAATTAGTGGGTAAATTCAAAAACCACAAACAAGCAAATTTTAGTGGAGGAAGTTCAGCATTACATTGTCATGGGTATTAATTAGTGATTTTGGGCTGTTAACAGATTATCGGCAAGTTGGGTTTTTTTTTCCATTCCTTTTTTTTATTATTCAATGGTGAACTTAGTATATTTTTTTAAAGACAAACTCTTTAAAATGTTATGAAAAATACATCTTTCTGTAGAAATACATTTGGATAAAAGTTTTGTTGACTCTTCACAAATCCACAAGGGTTCTTATTTCAGCAATTCTGGCCTGTTTCATTTCATTAGAGGTTGGCTTCTTTGTTCCAAAAGCCCCAGCAGCGAGTTCTCTTTTTTTATCCTGAATTTTTAGCATATTTTCTTCAACAGAATCCTTAACAACAAACTGAAAGCAAATATTTATTAGTAGGATTTTTTTTTGTTTTTTTATAAGTATAATTAACTTAGCATGAGACAGTCAAAATGAATTACCTTGGTAATAATAACCTCTTTGGTTTGTCCAAGCCTGTGACACCGATCAAAACATTGTTCCTCAGCTGCGGGATTCCATGCCTACAATGTCACAACAGAATGTTACATTAAAACATTTTCGGTGTGGTGCAGGGTCAAGAAAACATGTAAAAGATAAAACACAACACAGATTTCCATCTTGGTCTGAGCTGTACAAAACACCAGGTTGAGACAGTTATGCATTCAGCATTTTTAGATCTGACTGGTCTGTGTCCTTAATTTGTCAATATGGATAATCAGAAGAAAAAAACAAACAAACCTATATATAAAAAAAACCTATATATAGAATATAAATTTTATTTTAGAAATGTATGTCACACAAAGACAACTGTATATGTAATGTGCCAAAACAAATTGTAAGCTAGAGGTAGTGTGTAGAACATTCTGTAAAGTGAAGTAAGATTAAAAAAGTATAAGGGTACATGAATAAGGACGGATATAATGGTTAACCCTGGAACAACAACTTTAGTTGATTTAGTGAGCTGATGTGGGTGCTGTGACATTGTTAAACCAAGTACTTCCTTAAGGCAAAAAATTTTAGAAGCATGTACTAACTAAGACTTTTTCAGAGAAAAACAGCTCTTTGAAATTATGTTTTAGTTTTAAGGACATCTATAAGTAAATAATACTCCATACTGTACAAATCTTCTGATTTCTAACCATCACAAATATTGGTAATGAACATACATTCGTACACAAAATGCAAGGTGTTTGAAATGATATTATCCTGATTACAGTTCCCAAATTCACCAAGTGTAAATGGAATGTGCTTTACAAAATGGAATGAGGTCTGACTAGAATAATATTTATAAGAAACATTGTATCCCCTGTGCAGATGTTTGTCACACCAGACATCTCAGCACGTATGCTTGCGTTTATTTAGGATATAGGAAGGGAACAGAAAATATATTAAGAAGGAGATGGCAAGGTACACCAATAATTGAAAATTAATTGGCACAGAACTGGAAAGAGGGTTGTAAAAATTAAGAGATCGTGAAAATACTTAATTTTTTTCTTTTATGAATACATTCAGCTTAATGTGGAAAATGTCAGTCATTGAACCTGGAAAAACACACAGGGTTACTCACTAAAGTGAGAATTCAAAGTGAGTTTCAAGCCAAATAGCTGGACTGCAAACATAGCTGACTTAGAGCATGTCTCCGGTCTCTGTACTAAAGTGGCACCATCCCTACAGATTTTTCATTCTGTTTAAAAAGATATTCCAAGCAAAATAAACAAGGCTGCAGAGGGTGTGTGATGTCAGCAGCCAATCTGTGATTTGCTGCATAGCTGTGTTGGAAAGAGTAAAAGGTTCCTTTTTAATATTATGAATGCAGTATGTACTTAGTTGCTCAAAGTTAGCTAGTTCTCTACCCAGTTCTCTAGGCACACGACCAGTCCCAAACTAAAGCATTTTCCAATTTTGTTCCAATGCATTTACTGAATACCGTGGTTAGTAACCACTAAGCTAGAAATATTTTATTCACCTATTACGAAAAAAACTTAAATAAATTTAAAAACGACTCGCACAACATATAAAAGAGTTTTTTTTGTTTTTTTTTAAATGCTGTAGGGTGGCGTGTAGGCACTATATGTAGTCAGTGCCACTTTAAAACTGCCAGCGTGGTATTTTCTCTGTGAAATCCGTAAAAGAGAGATCGTGTTTGTATAACACAATTACTTACAGGATCCATTAAAAATAATCGAGAAGCTGCTGTCAGATTTAAACCAACGCCTCCGGCCTTCAATGAGAGCAACATTATGGTTGGAGACTCAGCATCACTGCTCTGGAAACACTGTATTGCTTCTGTTCGTTTTTTCTGTGTCATCGAGCCATCCAAGCGTGTAAAGATGAAACCAGACTCTCTACACACAAAAATGAGGACAGTAGTAAGGTTTCTATGGCTACAGACATTGCATGTATGAAAAATTCTGACCTGGCACCAATCCTGTATTGCTCTGCATAAAAAAATAGGTTACATAACTGTAAGGAGAGAGGACAGAAACCACAGAAATGTGGTTAGAAATTGTTACATAATGTTGCACTTTTAAGCCTCTGATAAATTTAAATCTATCTGCATTTTACAGCTATAATTTACAAGAAGCTCAGAATATAATTTACAAGCTTTGAATATCATGAGAAGGACAATCTATTCCTTATATTATAGAATTGAATAGTATTGAATATATTTCCTTTTGTAAGGTCATATGGTATGAAACACACCAGTGGACATTGAATTAAATAATGTTTATTTTTTGCTCACAACTCACATTGTGCCTTTAGGGATGTGTCATGTTTGAAGAGTGGTGACACAGAGTTCTGTAGCAGCTAGAATTTAAAGGAACACTCCACTCCATAACAACTTAAGCACATGCTATAAGGGAAAGCATATCCAGGACCCTTCTTACCTTCAGGGGTTTAACGATTTTGTAACGGTTTAAGCCAGAAGTTGGAACTCTGACACCCAAAATTGCTTCTGTCCCTTGGCTTCCTTCCTCTCTGCACTGCACAATGAGTAAGCTTTAAGCGGCCAGTCAGAGATTGTCAGAGCGTCAGCTGACACACTCAGCCTATCACTGGCCACCCATTGAGAAAAATAGTAAATACAGTTTAAGTAAGAGCCAAAGTGTTCAGGAGTTAAACTGTTAAGCAACAGTTTAACATTGAAATTGTGGAAACTACTGCTCTTAGAGCGCAGAGGAGTGGGCAGTGGTGACCCAATTTTGAGAAGAAACCTTTGCAAAACGGTTTAACTCCTGAACACTTTGGCCCCCATGAAAACCTAAAAGAACACTACAGGGTCAGGAACACAAATGTGCATTCCTGACACTATAGTGTTAAAATCACAATCTTACCTAATTCCAGTGCCAAGGCAGATCCGCCGGTGCTGGCTCCGCCTCTGATCTGGTTATTTGGCTGACAGAAGTGATTATCTTAGCCAATCACAGTGCGGAGCCAAACATCACCCATGCCAATTAGCATCTCATCATAGTGAAGCATTGAATTAATGCATCTCTATGGGAAAAGTTCACAATCTCCATACAGAGCATGCACCACTCACTCAAGAAGCACCTCTAGAGGTCGTCTGAGGAGTGGCCACTATAGGTGTTCCAAGCCTGCAATGTGAACACTACCTTTTCCCTGAAAAGGCATTATTTACATAAGAATACTTGCAGGGACATTATATACAAACCAGGACAACTACAATAAGCTGTAGCTGTTCTGGTGACTATAGTGCCCCTTGGTGTTCCATTAAATAATTTTTAAGTAAGTGTCTAATAAAACACTTTCTGTGATAGATATATTTGTTCCTCTGCCCACCAATGCCATAGAATATACAATATGACAATGAGAAGTTGGATACAACACGTTTTGTATTTCCCAACATTTCAATCACATTCTGCAGCAATCAGTCTTAAAAGAATAATGTAGAATTTTTATTTTTTTTTAAATTGATCCCTAATGAAGAAAAAAGTGTCCTGTCTTACCGAAGAGCTGTTTCTATTAGTGATAAGAAGTTGGTAAACTGTGAAACAATTATACTTTTTATACGAGGATCCTTATTCCTTTGTTCAGTCAATGCATACATTAGGGCATTTATCTGAAAAATTAAACCAAGAGTATTAACATTCATATTTATTCAAAATATCACAGCCAGATTTACGGCACTGTCTAATTATCAACTTAAAGGAACACAAATGTATTCCTGACCCTATAGTGTTAAAAACACCATCTAGCCCCCAGGTGTTATATATATATATATATATATATATTAAAATCTTACTTTTGTTCAAGTTTTCTGCTGCTAGGTCTGTCCCTGATCTGCCTGTTTGGCAGACATCATCAGAAGTGTTGTTTTGAGCCAAATGCAAGGCTTTCCCATAGGATTGGCTGAGAATGTCAAGGAGGCAGATCAGGGGCAGAGCCAGCACAAGTCAAACACAGCCCTGGCCAATCAGTATCTCATCATAGAGATGTATTGAATCAATACATCTCATCATAGAGATGTATTGAATCAATACATCTCAATCTGGAAAGTTCAGTGTCTCCATGCAGAGGGAGGAAACACTGTGCAGCACTGCCCCAGGAAGCACCTCTGGTAGCTATCTGAGGAGTTGCTAGTGGAGTTATCCCTAGGCTGTAATGTAAACACTGCATTTATTGAAAAACAGAGTGTTTGCTGCACAAATCTTAAAGGGAATGATTATACTAACAAGAAAAAAATACAATAAGCTGTAGTTGATCTGGTGACTATGGCGTCCCTTGAAGTTGTGCTGCCTAAAGTAGTTTAAAATACTATAAAACAAAACTACTGAAGTCTAGCTGAGGAATGTGTGGGTTAAAAGTGCCAATCCCATTCCTGAAGGGAAGGGTCTAATACAACACAAATACAAACCAGGTTCTCAACCAAACAGCTCAGCAAAAACTATATACTGTGACGAGTGTAATGGGTTTCCCCAAACTAAGCTTTTTAGCATATTTCCACTGGAGGCTAGATTAGGTGAATGGGGAGCTGCCACTATAAAATGAGTGAACTCAATATATATATATATATATATATATATATATATATATGACTCCTTTGAAATATATTTAGCTTAATAATTAACCTCAAAGGCTGAGATTTATCAAATAACAGGTACTATCCTGGGAAAGTGCCAAATGTCATTCCAAGTTGATTGGTCCTTATTTAGAACTTTACACCACAGCAGCACCTGTTTTTGCCTTAATGAATTTATAATGTAATATTTTTTTTATTGAACAGGGGGTAGAGTCAGCGCTAATCGGGAAGGCAGCAGTCCCAAACAAGGACTCCCTCTGGTGTCCTTGAAAATCAATGATAAAGAGCAAGAAAGGATGAGGGGATGGGTCTGCG